GTAGCCTTTGCGGCCCACTGAAATGGTGCTACTGCTTCTGAGGCCAATCCGGATGTGTGGCGCGAAGGGGGCCGAAACAACACCATGCCGCTGTGCTGAACTTGAGATGCATTGCCGCTGTGGATTTTGCGGCGGCGGCGGTGGTGATTATGTATTCAGCTGGAGTAAGAATCCTTGCTACTCTTCACATGTTGACGCCCGGCTGCCAGTGTTTCAGTTTCCGGGTGCTGGTCGCTGGCTATGTCCCTGAGTCAGCCGCCTCACCCGTGGGCAAGCCGATTGGTCAGGGTCTTGATCGACTTTAGGCCGGGTGAATCAACTGAATGATTGATTGAAACCGGGGAGCTGTTCAAGGAATGTAATTCCCGACCATTTGCAGTAGCCCCCTTGGGGCTGTTCAAAAGCAGAAGCCTTGCCAAAGCAGTTGGTCGCCTTTGCGGTTTCCAAACGAGTTTCACACACACACTAATTATTGCTAGGTACCCGTTTTGGATCGTCTATGATGTTTCCCCCGCATTTTGTGGGGTCTCGTGTTTTTCTTTTTGCGGCTCCCGAGGCGAGACAAGGACAAGGGTGGTCGAACCATCAACGAGAACATGCTCTTGAAGCACAAGGCGGTGAACAAGGCCGGCGTGAGCACGCATGCCAGAAAATGAGATCTCGCTGCAGGCGCTCTCTTCTTGAGTTGGTATCCTTGTTGGATTTTGTTTAAGGAAGCCAAAAGGACACTCCAACCCATGTTCCTTGCTTTATGGCTGTTTGGTTGGATCTTTGGACTAGCAATTTTTGGTTGAAACAGGTCGGATGTACCATATTGGACCCACCAAAAGTGATTCACCTTTTGCAGAGGGTTATAAAGGGAAACCAAAAGGAGGCCCCAGTTTGGTCGATTTCATAGGCAACCCCATGAGAGTGATTCCACCTCAAGCTCGGGGAAAAACCAAACATTTAAACAAACAATCTTGTGAGTTTCTTCATGCCATGCCAACGGTACATGTGGAATCCCCGGAGGCCGACAGTGGGGCATGCCATTCTCTCAAGTCCAGGCTCATGTTTGATCATGGTCTAAGGTTGAATTGCTTTTTCCAAGCCTGTGAGGTGAGTGCTGTACTTGTTGTTTGAGGTTTGGCTTGATGCAGCGAATGGATCACAGTGCTGTGGAAAGCAGCCGCCGCTAAGTTGGTTTCCTTGAGGCCGGTCAAAACTTGTTCGGAGCTTGTGACGCGATCTCCAAAAGCGGATGGTGAAGGTACGGAGTCTTTGACTCCCACGAAAAAGTGAGCCATCCCGACTCATTCGGAGTGGCGGTTTGACTCGAACGAGCGGTTCCTGAGCCATCCCCAACATTTGGTGGTCTTTTGCTCTAAGCAAAACAGATTCCACCTTTGATTGCAGGATCCAGGTGTTGTTTTGCAAGTGCTACATTCTAGTATGAACTCAAGTCATTTAATTGGTGGCATGGTGATGTGGAGAGGGTAGTCCGTCAGGTTTTTAATCTGGGGAGCATTATCGAGCATGTGTGCCACTAAGGTCGAACAAGAGGACAGGTTCGTACTTTGGGTGGTCAAGCGAAATCCGCTTCTCGCACCACCGTTCAGAATCCCATCGGAACGAGTCGATTCCCCCACGTAAATACCACCAAAACATGGTTTCAACCATGGTTTCAAAGTGCGAAATGGATTTTGCCCATCCACAGTATGTGCGAGAAGACAGTATGCCACAAAATACTTTGAAGAAGGGCTGTCTTTCACGTGATTCCCCGAAGCAGCAGTCCCGAGCCAAGGCATTGTTTGTGTGAAACACGCCTCCTGAGATACGTGTTTGCAAGTATTGCGTTGGTACTCCTGCTCTTGCCAACGCCCTGATTTCATCGCTCGCTTTCAATCTGTGCCAAGGACCCTATGTTTCCCTTGGCGGTTGTTCAACTTGCAAATGTCTTTCCTTTTCTTCGTGGGGTGATGTTTTTGGGTTGGTAGTATAAGGAACCCGCGAGCACTTGTGCCAAACCGGCTTTTGTCACTTTCTGTGATATCACGGGAAGCCCTGTTCAATCCTAAAATAACCAAGTAGTCATGCTGTGGATGCAACCAGTTGGTACATGGATCTCATGATTCATGAGGTTTCATCCATCCCAACTCAGGAGTTTGTCCGTCCACAGCAGGTAACATAGTCTGAAGATAATTGGTTTTGATGTTTTCTGTGGGCCAAGAAGCAGGGTGGGTTGCAAAATGTGCCACAGGATGCATGGCAATCCCGACGATGTTTCGTGCACAAAAACGCTCACGCCAGAACAACCCGTACGCCTCCAAGTGCAAGAAGTGCAAGTGCGCGCTTCACCAGCAAGGGGCGCTGCTGGCGTCCTTTGGGATTGGGCGCAATCCCACGGGTTGGTCAAGTCATGCGTGGGAGTGTCTCCTTTTCTTCATAAACGCCAGCTTTGCCCAACCCTGGACGGCTGTGTAAAAGCTACTCGGAGTTGGGGCTTGAAATGGGGCTCAGTCTAAAGCTAATCGACCTTTTGACCTTTTGGGTTTCCAAGGGTTCAGTTTTGGTCCTTTGGGCAAGTGAGGTTGTCAACCCTTCTTGAGTCCCGTGTTCGCGCAACAGACATGTTGCCTTGGCAGGTGTATTGCGCGCAGTGCGCTTACGCGAACGGCTTGCCCGGCGCCCCGTTGCGTTGCGCTGGGTTGAGGCATGGCAGTGGGACATTTTCTTGGCATGATGCTGCAAGCCAGACCCTCTTTTCTGGACTGCTCCCCAGGTCTGCGGACAATGCTATACTACCGTTGCTTTCCTGCTTCACTACTCTGCTAGCCGGTCATGATTGTGCTCGTTCTACTTGTACTTGCTCCACGCTCAAGCCTGCAGACCCTTTGTTCTTGACTGCTCCGCATGGTCAAATTCTGCGGAAGCCTTTCTATCACCGATGCTCTGTACTTGCTCCACTTTTCAGCGTCACTCTTGCCTTCCGCTTCCGCAGTATTTTGGCATCAGTTCTTCACAAGCACGGGGCCGGCGCGCGGGAGCCGCCAGAGAGGCTTGCCGGGGGACCGCAGCCACTGCTCAAGCGGTCACGAAGGTCGCAGCGCGCCAGGGGGGTTAAGGCCAGGATCTTCACCCAGACTCACTGCTTCCCCCCTCGTACTTGCTGCTGTGTTGTCGCCTTTTTGCTGGTTCGCTTTGCGCTTGGCAGAAAACGCGATGTGGTTTGGAGTCCAGGCACGTGCCAGGAGGCCATCAAAGAGGGTCTTGTATATCAACGCAGGCTACAGATGATTTCCAGTTGGTGGGGATGTGAGAATCAAAGCGCAACCATGAGGCGTGGTTGCCAGGGAAAAAAAAAACAGCGTGATCACATGCTTTTTTGTTTGTTGTAAATGGGACATGGAACCCAAAATGTCTGATTTCCAGTGGTCTCTCTTTCAATCCAACTCCAGCAACCCTTCGTATGCAGACTCGATCTTGGCTGTATTGTTTCCCTACGCGCCGCTCGCTGAGTTGCTCCATCTGCGGCAAGAAGATGGTGGATGTGTGCCGACCTAAGCGGTCGGTTGCCCTTCCCAGCTCCGCCTATGTTTTGCTCCAGGCGCGAGACTTTGAACCCGACAGCCAAAAGGCGGTGAAAGGAAACCCTTTGCATTCAGCCCTATCCAGGCGTGCTTGTACATACCCCGTGTAAAGTGGCTTGGAAACCAGGGAAGCAAAGGGTTATGAACAAGGGGTATGTACTTCCACCCTTAGACCCTACCGGATTTGCGGCGCCTCGGCCCTTTTTTCCGGAGTAGCCGAGGTCCAACCACCTGATGTCCACCACCTGAGCGATTCGATGCGGATTGAGAAAGGCCGTGAGTCCAAGGCCTCAAAGAGCTCTCAAGACGTTTCACGCCGGACAGCTGGGCTTAGAGCCCAGACATGCAAATGCAGTGGGAAAATGATAAGGAAGAAGTGGGTTGTCTAAAGCAGGCGCTTTCCAGATGGTTGGTGCTTGAAATCCAGTGAAACGCATTCTCACTTGACTCTCCATGGTTGATTTGAAGGGGGTTTCATGGAACATCGACCAGCTTATGCTGGCAAATCCCCCTGAATTGTTTGTTGGTTCATCTCTAAGACGAACTGACTAACTTCAAAACCAAGTGTTTGGCAGACACCGCACTTCAAAGTCGCGAGCGGGACCCTGCTGCTTGGTTCTCCGATCGCCTTTCCGAGGTCAGCCAGCATCGAACCACCTCGTGTGAGCAAGGACCTATATTTTCCTCGGCTGTTCAAAGGTACTCCTTGCCTTGGATTGCAAAAGGTCCCCTTTATAGTGGTTTCCTATAGGGATGATCTATTAGGATTGGCCAACCCTCCATTTGAACCGCCCAGCTTTCTCATTCCCAACAAAATGCAGGTTGCTGCGAGGTTGAAACCTTAAACATTGCTGACTGCGGCATGTTGTGCCGTGGTTTTGCTGTCACTATTTGGCTTGCATGACCCAAACACCGCAAACTCTCGCTGCTTTCGGAACGTGTCTTGGCAGTTGGGGTCTTAGGCCCAGAAGATCTCTGACTCACATCAATGGGCTTGGGGAACTTCATTCCCCAACGCTTGGGTGATCCACGGAATGCACCGAAAAGTTCACACGCACATGCACACATATGGCCATGGGTCAAAATCCCGGTTAGCCCCAAGTGAACATCCCAATCCCCACTAAAATAGACGTAAAATGGGTGGTGAATTCACCTACCCCAAAATGGTAGCATTGGTTTTGACCCACAGCCATATATCATGATTATACTGGCAAGCTCGCGAATACGCGAATGCGCGGGCATCCTTGTTCTATGTTCTACAAGAGCCCCGGATGTAGGGCTTAAATATAAAACATATATGTCACATCTTGTGTGTGTGTACACATAAGATTATACGGAGACACATCAAGTTCCCCTGTTTCTACTACCATGATCTAAAGCTTCACCGATTGAAGCTTCATGCATACCGGCCATGCTTCTAGGCTTTCAGCAGCTCGCCATGTCTTGGTTGTCCTTGTTCGTCCAGCCAATTCTCTTCCATCCCCTAAGCCCGGACTGAGACACTGTAAAGAGAACCCCAACATCTGGCAGTGGTTGCCGCTTGGGCATGTGTTATCTGTGCAGAGGGAAAAGGAGCCAAGTTTTCTTAGTTGGCAATGTGCGTTGCCTCTAGGGAACCTGCTGGTGGTGCCGATTTCAGTTGGATGGCACAATTCCCTTGATGCTGGTTAGACAAGGGGATGATCAAGTCCGCACGGGGATATGTGCATTCAACAATTCTGATTTGTGTGATGCCACAGAACTTGCTGGTTCTCAGCAGGAAATGAGAGAATGATGCCTATAAGCCATCCCCTATCGTTTCCGTTGTTGGAATCTCGAGGTTCATTCCACCCTTGTCATTCCCTGGGCACCAGAACAACCAATATGTTCACGTGACTGTTCCTTGGAGAGGTCTGGGGAAACCAGCTCTCGGAAGGTTGGCTGCATTGCTTGGCCTTGGTGCGGGTCGGCGTAGGCCGCAATTGCAGATGAAATTTCAGCTGGTTGGTTGGTCAGTCTGTTGGTCAGTGGGTCGCTTAGTGAGTGTGTTGTGTGTGTGTGTGTGTGTTGTGTTGTGCGTTGCTGGCCCCAAACCCAGGCGGTTTCTTCACAGAATGGGGAAGAGAGTGGGGAATCAACCCGTAAGTCGTTTGTTAATGGCCGCGGGGCAGGGAACATTGGAACACGCCATCCGCCGAGCCTTGCCCTGCGCTTTGGCTCAAGCTTCGCTTAGTTCGGCCCCCCCTTCTCGGGCAGAGGAAGAGATGGATTTGAAGGACACCGTTTGGCGTGTCGGTTTGGCCACGTCCGTCTGGATTGTGCGTGCCAGGCTTGATGACTACGCTTTTTGCCTTCTTTTTCACTTTCCCGCGGGGTCGTTGGTTTCGCTGTTGGTTTCCCTTTTGATCATATTCGGAAAGGGGGTCAGCCCCAACTCGGGAACAATTCGGGGGCATTCTGCCCATGATCATTGTGCGGGAAGGCTCGTGCAAATGTTCCTTCAGCAGTTTCTGTTTTGTGTTTTTTTAGTTTGGTCGAGAGCTCCAGAAGCCAGCCGGTCGCAACTTTCGACCTGACTCTCTGGAAACCACCGGTAAGTTGATCAGCTTTTGATGTGGGGAATTCCCGTGACCCCTGTCCAAAGGATGTCTTGGTTGCGTCTGGAACGCAAGCCATATTCATGGCAGGTGCTGAAAACCACCTGCAAAAAGTTGCGGAGTGTGTAGTCCACCAGCAAGCATGCCTTGATGATCCTTGTCAATCTACCATGAATTGTGTGACTCGGACATGTCCCTTCGGAGAGGTGAGAGGGGCTCCCAACTTGGCCAGGACATTCCAGACCGATGGAAGAAGCTCAACGTGGAGAACCCTCCGTGCGCTTCGCGCGAAAAGCCGGGCTCCGGGCGCAGGTCCAGGCATTTCGAGCGAACAAATGAAACGCCCCCCGACTCCGGAAGTGGAGATCGTCTTGTTTTTGCCGGGAAACACACATATATCTGCCAAGCGCATTTCAATGTTCCCTCTTTTTTTTTGAACATCACAGGCTCCGGTTGGCCCGAAGATGGGTTTGTCGTCCAAAGGTTGGTAGGGAAAGAGATCTCTCATGCGGCAACGGCAGGTACAAGTACTTCCCCAACCGCAGCCGCAAGCAGACCGTGATGTACTCGTGGCTCGTGGGGCCCCGAAGCCTGACCGATTCGATTGGGAAGCGGCGCGCGCCTTTCGTACATCCAAGCGCCAACCCCGCCCCCCCCCCCAAAAAAAAAAAGAAAAGAAAAGAAGAAGCAAAAAGCAGAAAGAAGAAGAAAGAACAGTGGCATCGCGTGTTTTATTTCTTCAAGTTGTCTTTTGGACTCCTTCAAAACCTTGACGACTCTCCTTTGCAAGTGGCATATGATTCAGTGTACCTCAGGGTTGGCAATCTGGAAAAACAGGTTCGAAGGGCGATGAGCCCCTTGCACAATGTGCGATCCAGGTTCCATTCGTACCAATCCGTCCATTCTGGGGGAGAGAATCGCCGGTGAATTCAACTGCACTGCAGAAGGTGAATTCGGCATGCCACATCTAATGCTCAGAACCAGCAAGTTGCGACTCACCCTTTGAGTCTTGACCATTGGCGGTTTGGATTGGATCTGCCCTTACCGACATGGTTTTGCATTGGTGGGATGTGAAAAAAACATCGGCCCTTTGCAAAGGGCCCGCGTTCCCCGTACGTCTTTGAAGGTCTGAGGGGCATCCTAAGGGAAGCGTTACCACAGTTGTTTTTTCCCTCTAAACGCGAGCCAAACCGAGTTGCCTTGAAAACAAGAGCTGATATCAAGGGGTTATTTTGTCGTTTGGTGGACACAGGATTTAGCAGCCCACGACTACCACATTCACAGACTTCTCCTGGAGCAGACGGGCATGTTGCCAAGCCACACACACACACGCGCACACACACACACACATGTAGAGTCCCTTTTACTTGGGGTTGGTGGGGATGGTCATGGTCTTGGGTTGCGGGACCCACCATGGCCCATGAGTCTTGAACCTTGCACAACCAACCGTTTGGCTTCCCTGTTGGTTCCTTGAATGGTACTTGGCACCTTTCTTCGGGTTCCGAACAACAACAAAAAGAGAGAGGAAGAACAACGACTTGGGTGTTCAACTTGCTGTTGCTCAGCAATGAATGAGGGAATGAATCCTATAAACCATCCCTTGTGGTTTCCTTTAAGGGAATCCCCAGGTTCATTCCCTCATTCCCTACCTATCGCACCAGCAAGTCAAAGGGAGATGGATGCAAAGCCACGCCTAGGGCCTCGTCGGCTTCACGGCCTTCGGCTGGCTCCTCTGGGAGGAGCGGATTCCCAGAAAGGATGGCTAGGCCCCTTTAGGGTCTGCAAGAGGATTTTTCTCGGATGTGGGGGTAGACTATAATTTGCTGATGTGCTGCTTTCCCCTGTTTGGTTGATTTGCCTAAGCATATGTGTGATTTCTCTTGGTCTTCAAGGGATTCTATGACTACTGGAAAAAACGGCCTATTTTTGTCAGTGGGCTTATGCAAACGGATGTATACACCCACATTCTGTCACATTCTGAACATATATCCGCTGCAGATTTGGGTTTCCGTGACTCCCGCAGGCTTGAAGCGGCGAATCGCCTTGGGAACCCCGAAGGGCTGGAGACCTAAGAACGTTCAGGGTTGACAAGAGGTCAACGTAGATCTCTGGACGGCCTTCAAGAAGCTCACAATTTGTGCCATTCAAGAAACAGCGCCTCACCCAAGCAAGCTCACTGAAGCTCAACCTATTTGCTGTTTGAAATCGCCAGAGAGACAGATATAGAGGGAGAGCGGCAGAGAGGTGGTCGCCTGGATCCACTTTTGGATCAGAGCAATCCCCCGCCACTCAAAAATCGCCGTCAGAGGGCTGTTTCCCCAAAGCTTGAGGCCATGGCGAGAATGGGGCAACACGCTACACGCAAAGCTCTCGTGGGTCAGTTTCGAAAATAGATGGTCCTCGGGGTTTTCTTTGATTTTAATTTGAGTACCATTTTTTTTGTTGGTGAATCATGAGGCGGCCAGGTGGTAGCCTCCGGAACCCTCCTTGAGAATCACCGGAGCCTAGACCCCAAGGCTACTTCCAGCTTTTTAGAAGCAGCTACCTAGCGCTACAAGGCTTAAGGGACATACAGCCAACACAGGGAGGGATCTTTGTGTGTGCGTACCGGCCAGCTCATTGATCGGCACACCGAGAGCAAAGAGGAGATGCTCACAGAGTACGCCAGGAGCATCGAAATGGGACGTGCTTGGGTTGGAAGTCTGCAAATATTTGCTCAAACAAGCAGTCCTCTTTGGTGCGTCAACACATTGAGTTGCACACGAATCATTTAGGGTCATGGACCGGTTCGGCGAATTGTTGTAGATTCAAGGGCATGGTGTTGGTTCATGCGAGTCAGCATGGGCTGTTTCATTTGTCAGGTACCAGGGATTCCTTCTGCACGGGCGGCACGTTGTTGTTTGGTCGCGCGAGGACTCACATGACCTTTGCGCAGGCGTCCCTGACCAACAGCCGCAATGACGCAGCGGCCTCAAACCGCTTCCAAGCCCGCACCCACGTGGGCCAAAATGGATTTCTGTGGGTGGTTTCTCTAAGGCAAGGGAGTTCCCTTTGGTTGCCGTGAGAGTCTGAGAGTTGATTGTGAAGGTCTCAAGCCCTTCGCCTATTGCGCTCAGTTTGCTTTTGCACACCAGGATTGCCATGGCTAGGTAGCGGGCATTGCGTTTTGTGCATCTAGTTCTTCTAGTTCTGGTTGTTTCTGGCTGAAGCACAGATCCTTGCCGTAACCTGTATCCATGGAAGTAACATGCTGAGTCCACGTCGCTTGGATGCGGGTGCCCTCCGGGAGGATAGATCGGAGCCGGGCACTGGTGTCCAGAAGCGAACCCCGAAACGGAACCCCGGCAACTCGATGGAAATCCTGCGGTCCAATTGGTGTAATGTTTGACCCATGCCATGACTGCCCATTTGCAAACTCACTCTGACCCGGAACCCAGTATTTCTGAGGGGCTCCATGGCGGGAACTGGAAACCACCAGCAAACTGCAACTCGGCAGGGGCAAACTTCACGGTTGTCGGCATGTTTTGAGGTTTTGTTCATTCTTAGCGGGACCTTTGCTTGAGGCCTACCGCGACATTTTGATGCGGGCGCGACGGCAGCGATTGGGCCTGCCGCCGGAGGACTGTGGGCTCACTTGAAGGCATGTTGAGTTGCAAAGAAAAAGTTCAGACTTGTTTTTGCCAACTCAGGAAGTGAGTCGTCGAAATACCCCCCCCCCCCCCAATATCAAATGGTTTAGATGGCCTGGGTTGTTTTGGGGTTCGGCAGCCATGTTCCTGGAACTTCGGCTCAATGCTCTTCGTCGACATCGAGATCGCTCGCATTGGATTTGGCCTTCGCGGCTGGGGCGCTGGGAGCAACCCCGTCAATGCCCAAGCTGTTTTTCCGGCTCGATTTTTCTGCTACCAGGGCGCATCGCCTCGTTTGAGAAGATTCATGGGCATTCGTGTTCTTCAGAATACAAAGTCAACACAAGCTGCGCGCTTCCGCTTTCCCACCACCCATTAGGTTACAACGAAGGCTCCAATCCACTTTTGTACCTGGCTCCCCTGTTGTCATTTTGTGGATTACCGGGCGAAATCCGCTTTGTCTTCAAGTGGTGGTTTCCCCCGGCTCCCTATAGTATACATGCCTTGAAATGGACGAAGTGGTCGGGTCTTTTGAGAGCGGCATCACTGGGTGGCATGCCTGTCTTATGATATGCAACCAATCGGATCCGGCAAATTGGAATTCCCAACTGTTTGCGCTCAACAAGCCTGGGCCAATGAGACCTGAACAGTTGTGTTCTGGTTTCTTTATGGAAGGGAGAGGTTTGAGAGATGACTCCCTGACAGGGTCTTGATTGTTGCCTGGGTCTCTCGTGCTTTCTGCTTTTCTCCTCGGCAGGCTCCCGGCAGCGTCGAAATCAAAGATCCCTTTGAAGACTGAGGCGGTGTACAGTGGACACTCTGAATTCAGATTCAATCGCAGGGCCGAATAGGTGTGTCTTTTTCTAGAGGACTCCCGAAATGTTGGGTTTTCCTTTTGGTTTCCCTTTGAGCAACAAAAAGGGGTACCCTCAAAAAAGACACGCAAATCGCTCGTTGCACGGCGAGCCAAATGCAGATGGAAGGTTCTGCAACATCGGCACGCATCGACAGCGTAGGGCGTTTGGCAAGCATGGCAGCCCAAGCAAGGTGTTTTGGGGCTAACCACTATCTAAAGGCTTATTATAGGAATTTTACTGTGTGTTACACATGTCAAGGACCCTACCCAGCCTATTCAGGGTGCTGCCTGCAACCCAGGGGGTGCCTCCGAATTTCGGGTCCGTTTTTGCATGAACTAGGCGTCTTCTGACTAGCCACGGTAACCGGCCTACTTCATCCTTGTCAAGGACAATTCAATTGTCTTGTGGCGCTCTAATTTGCCGCAAAAAAAACAACAACAAAAAAGCACGGCTCAAAACCAAGGCTCAGCTGTTCAACGCCGACCTTTTGACCTTTTGGCTTTCGCTATTTGGTCCATTCTTAGAGGTGCCAATGGTGAAGCCTTTATTTCCAGGTCCTTTCGAGTGAGAAGGGGTTCAGCCGGCGACCACTTTTTTGAGGACAGGCCGATGCAGCCGATCCATCTGACTGCTCACAGGCAGACAAGGTGGTGCCCACCTTCTGGGTCCTGCGACTCGAGCGCTTATTTGAGAGCCCCTAAGCACTTCCAGACTGGTTTTTTTGAGGCGAAAGGTGCCTATTCTTCTTTCCCCTTTTTATTGGGGGGTTGCTTTGTTGGTGAAGTATACTCTTTCATTTGCTTGTTTGCTTTGTTGGTGAAGTATATTCTTTCATTTGCTCAATGTTTTACCTTTGCGGTTTCAAAGGGAAGCTATCACTACTGGACATATTCAATATTTTTTTCTAGGGGGCTTAAGCAAATGGAAGCACTTCAAATGCACTCACAGCCTCAATTGGCTTTTTGCTGTCAGGGATTGTCGAAGAGGCCTCTTGCTTTCGGGCGGGCCCACTCGCTCTGTCGCGGGCCCAGTTGGTGGGCAATCTTGGACCCAAATGGCTTGAAACCGAAATTTTCGGCGCCGACACGCGGAAGCGGCTTCGCGCGCCATCGTTGATGGCACGGTGAAAAGCGCAGGGGGGTTAGCGATAGCTTCCAAATCGAGTGCCTTGCCACTTGATTGCTTGACCGCCAATCTTCGTTGCGTACTCCCTGGACCTTGACAGTACTATTCGTGGCTTGGCCCCAATGAGAACTCCTAAGATTGATGTGAACCCCCGGAAAAAAAAAAAAAAAAAAAAAAAAAAACAAAAAAAAAAAAACGGATTCTCCGAAACAGAGGACTCTTCAACCGGTCATGTTGCGAGTTCCACGTCACACTTTTTTTGCAGATTGGATGTACTGTACTTCCTGCATCTTCCTGTCTTGTGCGGCTGCCACTGTGTGTTGTTTTCGTACACGGTCAGCGTGGGTATGCATAATGTACGTACTTGTTGGTCTTAGTCAACATCTGATCACTGCAACAAACTCGGGATCTATTGTACTATCTTAGATTAAGATCACCCGAAGCTATTGATGAGGTTCTGTTCAATGACAATTGCTTTCTTTCACGGGCTTACCCCGGATTCTGCAAGTGGCGCCGCCAAAAACAGGGCATTGCAGTTGCAAACTCTGGGAATCCACTATGTCCGAGCCTGAAACCTGTCTCGTGCAGGTTGGGACTCATGTGATGGCATGTTAGCGTGGGTTTCCCATGCGTGGCTGGCTTCAAGATGGTATCTTTGGGCATCGGTGTGAATGTGCAGGTGGCGGCGAGTGATTCGCGGATAGCAACCCTTTGAATGCGTCTCTGTCAGGCACGTTGCTCAACACCCAATGTGCCAACTGCACTGGGCGAGCCCCTTGGAGGTTGATATGGCAGCCGGCAAGAGCAGATGCCATCAACCGCGCTTGATTCATACGTGCTTACCTGGGCACAGTCACAAAGGTCCCACCAAGCATCAGGCACGCCGCCGCAGATCACATTTCGCCTATTGGCAGAGCAGGCACCCCCCCCCAGTCGATAGGTCGCGCCAGCGAATCCGCGCGCGTGTGTGAAAAGAATGTCGGAGCTGGGCCCGGTGCCACAGTTGGTTGGACTTGTGTTCGCCAGTTTGTTGAACTCTTGTCCCATTCCCATTGGGATCATCGTTGTGGGAGACGCCTTTTGGGGTGCTGCTTCAGTGGGAAACTGCAATGAACTCTGCAGTTCTGGCATGCCACACACGCACACGTGAACAGAGAGCGCTGCAGGATCCCTTCGGCAAAAAAGCTAAGAGGGCGGTCGCCCGCCGGTTTCTTCCACTCTACTTTGTTTACCAACGGTTCCAGCTATGCCTTTTCAAGGCAACCCGTTTGCACAGCCCGTGAAGTGAGGAGGGGGGTACGACGATTGGCTTCATGCTCTCCAAAGAGACCATTGCCATTGGGGGACTCTAAGAATATGGTTCTCTCAATATGTCGTGGCTGCATGGTGAACGGAAGAATGGGGTGCCTAGTTTTGATGACCACTCATATCGTGGCTCATGTCATCCGGCCATCCTGATGGCCCTTGGGCTTCTGGGCAAGTGACCTCACAATGGATTTGAAGCTTGATTTTTGTTTTTATTATGAAGGTATGTCTTTCCTGGTGTTCTGTCGAATTATGTAAGTCCTTGACAGTTGAGTGTCCGCACTTCCTGGAGACATTTCAAGAATGGGTATGTCAATGTCTTGTAGGGGCCTTCCTAGAAATGGTTGATTGCCCATCCGGTTCCGTGTCAGAAGGCAACCCAGCCTCCGCCTTTTGGGAACCCGAGATTCAAACTCTGTCCATCCATATTGACAGCTGCAAGCTGACCCAGAAACCAGCCCTCGGATTTTCAAGACATTTGCTTGTCCCTAGTCATTCCATGTCTAACCAAGACTTGGTCACTGGGATCTGGGTGAGATTGGAGCGCTTGCAACCCACTCCTTCCGCTTGCGTTTCTTCGAGGCGACTCTTTTCGGCGGGGAGCCTCGAAGTGCGCGGAAGGGCGTGTAAGGGCATGCTCGTTTTGAGGCCGACCCTTGCCGCACTTGTTTTTCAGAATGTGGGGGGAAGGGACATAACGCATGAGAGGGGACGCCACATAGTTCCCAGTTAGGACGTTGGGGTTCAAATCGAGAGACCAAGCATTTGTGAACAGCTTGTGTCAGGCTGGGGCCGCGTTATTGCCTTATTGCAAACAGCCATTTTGAGTTCGATACTGCACATAGATCAACCCCAAAGCATCACCAAAAAAAATCTAGCGGGACTCAGAAAACTCAAAGACAGGTCTGTGGGATGTACCGCGCGAAAGAATCAAGGCCTTTGGGGATTTAGGTGTTTAAGGTGTAAACGCATGAACAAAAACAACCCTCGGGGCACCCTTGAATGGCAACCCCGAAAGCGAGAAAAGGGCAGACAGATCACGGCCTCAAGAATATAGTTTCTTCTACAATGCTTGTTTCATCCAGGTAAAACTTGGTCTTGGCCCCCTTTTTCTGTTGGTTGCGTAGCTTGAACGTCATGTGTTGTCCATGAACAGAGACATGTTCTGCTTCTTTGGATGGCTGGGAGAACCGATCCTTGTTTCTGCAGGGCCACGACTTTTGATCCGAGGCCTGGGATGGCTCCGGTTGGGGAGTCTCAGGCTGGAAAGCTGGAAGCGCGGGGTGACGCTTTTGGGTTGGTATATGGGACTGACCTTTGAGTTGTGTTGGTACCCCTGTTTGGGTTGGGTTGTAACGGGAATCCAAAAGGGAAACCGAGGCCATTTGGGTGGGTCGTCTAGAAAAAGGCACACCCATAGGCACGAGGACATGTGCCAAAATGTGTAAAAAGCTCTTGTTGTTGCTTTTTTTCTTCGGGGGGGGTCCACTTTCTTTGATACGACGGGTACAGGTTCCTCAAGCCTAAAATGACCAAGTAGTCATACTGTGGACAAGACCCGCTTCGCACCGGTTGATAGATGGTGCCCGATTTCGTCCATCACTACCCCGCAACCGCATTCATTGAGTGGCAACCTGTCAACCAACCAAGCAGGAACCAGTCAATCAACCCAACAGGGCTCCACACTTGTTTCTACCAGGATCACTGGGCCTTTTGGGCGCTTCAAACACTAAATGCTCAGAAGAAGCAAGATTGACATCATGTTGAATTTGGGGACCCGCTTCCTATACTGCCCTGAAAATTTATTTGGACTTCAATGCCCTTTTGAAGCTAGGCCCAGAAACATTGGCGTTGAAGGCGGACATGACCCCCTGCCAACATGTCATAGTGGGTGGGACTGTTCAGCCATATACCTTGCAACCCGATTAGAGCTCAAAGGGGAGGACCGTTCCATTGCAATTCCTAAGGGACGCCAACCAAGAAACGAGTCATATGCCAACAAGGGAAGGCAAAGCCCAGCAGGCCAAGCTTTGTCGCAGCTCACGAAACGGATCGGCAACGTATCTCCGCTGGCGCGACACATCTTCACATGCCACGGACGAGAGTCAAGTTTGGGAATGGCTGTCTGGGAGCAACCGCATGGAGCATTGGGGGTCTAGTCAACACGGCTTCTGCGGTTGAGTCCTCAAAATATGTTCGCCAGGAACAGATGGGAAAAGTCCGAGGTTGAAATTCGCCAAAACCTTTGCGACGTTGGAGACACGTGCCCAACAACACGCACAAAGGACCTTTCCATGGGTAAACTGCCAGGGATATCTGGTGTGCAATTGCAAGGTGTCTAGCGAGCAACTCCGGGCCAGCGAATCAGCGAAGGCTCAGGATCCCTTGGTCCCAAGATGGATGGGTTGCTTGGGAACTCCCGTCATCCCCGCTCTTTCACAAACTGGTCTTGCAGCCTGGCAGGGAGGGCACCTCCGCTGTTTTTGGCACGCGACGCCACGCGAACGTGAGGAGTCGAGATGGCAGCGAGAGCAGTCAGGCAAGGCAGTTGATTCAAAATGATGCACATTAAGACACGGGGGAAGGGTTTGATGATTGGCTTCCGCATAGCACCAAAAAAAGGTACCCCACCAAAACACGTGCGTAGTGTGTACAGAGAGAGAGAGAGAGAGGGGTTGGTTGCCCTCTTTGAAGCTGGCTTTAAGTAATCCACTTCTCCCTGTGCTTTGACTGAATCGCACGGCCTGGCGAATTGTCCATTTCGGAGCCAATCGGGTGCCGTGGGTTTCGGGGCGCTCCGTGTGGATTGCGTGGCAAAGGGCTCTGGCCGCCGTTTTCCCCATGCAGGGGACCGATCTCTTGACAAAAATGATGCAACAGTTCGGGGAAAAGGGTGGTGCCTGAACAGAACCATGGGTATGGCACTTTTTTTGGAGGGTCCATTTTTGGGGGAATTTGAAAAAAGGGGCAGCCAAAGGGAACCCGCAAGGACTTGAAAGGGTCCGTTCGAGATGAAGAGAGCCGGACCGGTCAAAGGGAAACCACGTATTTTCGGTCCCCAAAAAGACACACACACACACACACTCAAACTACAAAGATTGTGCTACGGCAGGCAACGCCCACTCAGAGGAGGCGGGGAGTTTGGTCGAGTGGCTGGGAGGTTGCAGGTGGAGTGCTGCCCACTTTGGAGGGTTCCATTCAGTGGCACCGTTTCTCCCTTGTGTGGCTTTCTCACGTATGGCCAACCCCAAAAATGGATCCCTTCCAGGGTCGCTGGGCAAGGGGGGCACTGATGTACCCCTCACAGCGCTTTTGTTGTCTGGCCGACAAGTGGTGGGAATGCCCTGGCAGGGTTGAATGGGACTAGTGGAATAATCGACCCTGTCAAATGTGAATGGAATTTGAGCACGCACGCATGAGCCTTCTCCAAGCTATGTGGGCTTTCCGTAACTGGAGGCTTGCAAGGGGCCGCCAGGTTTTGCCAGAGAAGTATTCCGTCTTTCTAATGGATGAACAAAAAATGAATTGCGCGCAGCCAGTGTTCTACAATCGGATCTAGGTACTAGATAAAGGTCCAGCATAGTCGGTACAGTACAATGCCAACCTGCATGACGCTGGTAGAGCCAGAAGTCAATGGATTTTGGGTGTTGCTCACGTACAAGGTTCTTTGAGGAGAGAGAGAGTGAGTCTTGTACGCTAAGGAGAAAGATAGACTAATATGATTAATGCATTGGCATCCTTCACCCACAGCTTTAAGCGCCCTTTCCCCCTTCCAGTTGGCTACCATTCCTCGGGATCCAAGATTGCCCGTGGATGATTGAAGGATTGAAGCTTCACTCCCCCCCCAACCCCCGCCCCATTTTGACGCAGGCACCACTTGTTGGTTGTCAATATCTCGAGTTTCCTTTGGGCGATGTTTTGTCAGGCCTTCCGGCTCGGAGCCTTTTTCAAGTCGTCGAGATGTCTCGAAGTCGAAATCGCAGGACGAGGAAGTGGCGGCGCACTTCCTGCGCGCTATGATGAAGGAGTGGGCTTGTCAAACCACGAAGTACAACATTAGTATTGTTTAATTGATTGCCTGATATGATCATTTGCCATTGGATTCATTGACTGATTTTTTGGGAGAGAAGCTCTTGGGCCCCTTGCAATTCAACGTGGGAGCAACAGATAGCTCTCTGAGGGATCTTTTGGGGGGTTTCCCTCTCCGAGCAGAAACCAACGGGTATTTGACCTGGCTGCCTTCTTTGTGTTGCGGTCCACAGCTTTGTCAGGGTGCAGAAGGCGCGGTTTGAGTTGCGGCATTGAAAGTCAACAGGCGATCCAATAATAGAGATGCCTGCCGTTTATTGCAAGATGTCGTTCCGAAGGAGTTAGGCTCGTGGCGTTCTCGGCCCAATCTTTGCCAAATCTGCACCGGCGCCGTGCTAGGCGTTTCTTCAAGGGATGCCTGACGCTTTAACGGGCTAAGGAGAATCTCACTTCCTGAGTTGCTGGATTTGAAGCTTCTTGGGACCATTTCTCTGTTGCCTAGTGGTGCCCTTTTTCCTTTTTTTGGATAAGTGTTCCCCTTTAAACTCAACCAACAAAATCCACTGGGCATCTGATAAATTTTAGCGGTGAACCAATAGTTGGTTCCTTTTTGTGGCCTATCCACTGGATCGGACATGACTTCGAGCAATCCCCAACTCACGGGCTCGAGGCTCTCGACTCGAGTCAAATGCGAATCACGAGGCCAAAGCGGAGGGTCTCAACCTCTTCGCCAGAGCCGGCGCCGCAGAAGGGCTTCATCTTGGCACGGGGAGAAAGAAGTCACCTTTGACCTTTCTGTTTGACCCCCCCCCCCGCAACCACCACTTCCCCTGCTTCTCCCTCCCCCCCCGTCCCCCCGGGTTTGATCTTACAGTTTCTTCATATCAGTATTGGGGGCCGGCCTCACCACGGGTCATTCACCACGGCCACTTGGCCGGAGATGCGATCGCGGTCTCAGGTTGACGGATCGCCTTCCAGGACCTGCACGCCGACCTATCGCCAGAGCGCCAAAGGAGGAAGGCTTGTTTGTTGGATTTTGACTACCCTCCTCCCCGAACCATAGGTGTGCTCAGGTCAGTTTGTTTGAACATAAATGATACGATTTCTAGCTTTGTTCGAATCAGTGACCAGTGGCATCTGGATTCCAAAGGTCACCCCCTACCCCCTACACTCTCCTCCCGTCTGCTTTGAGGGTTCGGAGGAAGTGAGAACCCCGCGACTTTTATTCACCGCCAAACCCTGGCCCACGCAAAAGGAAACCGTAAGGAGATTGCTGAAGCAATTCTTGGTGGTCCCAGCCATCCCCTCAAGTTTTAGGGTTTAGGGGGGGGGGGGCACTAAAAGTTATCCTTTTAGTACGGGATCTGAGAGCAGCCGATAATTTTAGTCTAAGAATGGGTTGGTGCTTGTCTGTGCTTGTTTATAGGTTCGCAACCCAGGTACGTGGGTTTGTTTTGTTTTGAGGGTAACCCTTTTTTGGGGGTTGGCACAAGGGAAACCAAGAGGAAACCCACCATTTTCGGGGGTCCCCTGGGAAAATAGACAGTGAGGCAGCGGCAGCGCGAGCAGCTCGTTCGAGAAGAAGGAAGATGCATTGACCAAGGACTGGTTGAAGGCAGCCTTAGCCATGGCCATGGGGGATTTTCTTCAACAAGGAACCATAAGGAACCCCAATAAACCCCTCAGGAGCCCTACTTGAATGTTCGTTGCCAAGTTAGTAAGTCGTTAGACACTTGGGTTTGAACCCCCTAATAGCAAGCCCACATTTGGGGGGATGTGGGGGGTATAACCAAGGTTACCGTTACAACTTACGTAGCCAAATGGGTATGTTGTGTTTTTTGGAGGACCCCCTCCGAAATTGGTGGTGTTCCTGTTGGCTTCCCTTGAAGCCAACCAAAAAAAAGGAATACCCCAACGACACACCCAAATGGGGGGGAACAGGAGCCCTTGAAATCATAGCCATGGTGCGTTCTCAAACAGAAGGACCCTTGGTTTCCTTGTTAACTTCCCTCTCAAACCCATCCCAAACTCATACCTCTAAAATGAGTGTGTCCTAAACCCTGGACGGGGAAGCAAAAGCGCCATGAAAAAGAGGAGTCCCTTGTTCGCGCCATCCAACATGGATGGAGCATGTCCAGTCACATCGTGACCACACGAAGGTAGACAGCTGCTGTAGTCTAACATGTTCCACTACGCTATCCGCGGAAAATGAAGTGTATCAGTGTATACCTTTACGGGGCAACACAAGTGGTGTATCCCATTTCACCCCTAGGGTAGTGGATTCCATCTTAGGGTCTTTGACGTGCCCCCCGCAGTTTGCGGTTTACGCAGAACTGCTCGCTGCATGTCGCTACTTTGGACATGTCTAGACGGTGCTATGACTTTGGCCGCCATTCATCTCCTTTTTTCCCGAGTTCATTGACTTTAAACCTTTTGGGAAGAGCATGTTAGCGGCGAACAAACAGTTTGGATTTTTTGGCGCGTCCACTCAGACTTTTGGATTTTTGGGCCAGTCCACTCAGTCAGGTGAGCGTCACTTTAGCTTCAAGATGTCAGGCTGCCAGCGCCGTCCTTGCACGCGCTGACATTCAGATTTCCGTCGTTCCACAGTCAGAATATCACCGCGATGGATTGGATGTTTGCACGCGGCATCTTGCCCTGAAGCTTGACACAGGGATTCCTTGTTTCCAGTTTGGGAACTGCGTAAAGATAGGTGTGGACTTTTCAGGTTGGAGCAACACTTGGGATCATGCCCGTTAAGGCGAGAATGAGCCACATCAAAAGGTCTACTGGGACCGCCAGCATACAAACCTGTACTGAGTGCTGGTTGTCAGGAGTGAGGACCGCATTTGTTCCATTCTGCCGCAACAGTTGACCAAGACTCTCCAACAACAACCCTTTTGCAGCCGGTCCCCAGCCAGCACTCCTAGAGTTCCACAGTGAGCTTTTCTCTTTCGCGCCAGGACTACTATGAGAGGCGGGCTTTTGTTTGGCGTCGTCAATCCCGCTCGGCTTCCGGTGGCGGTTTCTCTTGCCGGATGTTTCCAAAAGTGGGAACGAGAGCCCTTTGGTCGTTGTCGTTGCTTTTTACGTAAAACATCTTTTGCGGACCCCCTTCAATTGTTTGTTTGGACCCCAATTCCTGTTTTGTGCGTGACCAAACGGGGTTGATCAATTCACCTTTTGTGCCGCCTCCCCCTTGGTGCTAGACATGGCCCTTTCGCATCCCCAGCATGACTAGCGAGGCCTAACGTGACATTCGAACTCTACAAAAGAACAAATGGCGACCATGATCATCATCCCCACCACCACCATCATCACAATCACCATCGTCATCATCACCATCATCATCAGCCAAAAGGTGCAATGACTCCAGGGCCGCAAACAAAAACGCCTTCGACGCGGGGTCGACGCGTTGCGGCGAAACGCGAAACGCGTTACGCACCGCGCGAAGACCGCTCCGCGTGTCGCGGCGGCGGGCGAAGCGGCGCGTTGCTGCGCGTAGGCCCCGCTGGAACTTGTCCACCGTGCCGAAGCCCTGGGCCCGCGAGGGCTTCAAGGCGCCCGAGGGCGGGTGGGCGGGTGAGGTGGAGACGGGGTTCGGTAAGGAGAGAAGCGCGGGGATCAATGGATATTTGTGTGTTGTTTGTTTAAGAAAAATCGAGTGGAGAGCCGAAGTGGCGGCGGTTTCGTTTTTGAAACCATCGCCACTTTTTGGAGGTTCAAAGAAGGGGAATGGAGGAAAGGCCTGAAACACTTCTCGCGAAAGCTGAAACGAAGGGCGCGAAAGCCCGCGAAAGCGTGCTGCAAAAGTGTTTGAAGAAGAGCCCGCTGCGAAAGCGTCACGAACGTGCCAGATTTCGGGCTCGTGAGGGAGGGCTGTGCCGGTCATTGTGAACAGCGTCAAGGCCCTTTTGAGCTCAGCCGAAATCGAAAATGCAGCCGAATTCAACGGTTCAGCAAACCCTGGCGCAAAAGCGATCCTTAAGAAACAGATGCCAGCGAAAGTGAAGCGTGTGGCCCTTGAAGGTTGTGCGCAAGTGGTGTGTTTGTGGAGGGTTTTATATAAACCCGAATTTCGGCACACCAAGATGTAACCCTTTTGCCAGCCGGAAAAGTTCTTCCGAAGATCTCCATGGTTTTTCACCTTCGGGTGCGGGTTCTAGTGCATGGAATCAAATAAGGGTCAGGCATCAGAGGCCTTTCGGCAGCCGGAGTTGACGCTGGCAGAGACCTTGCTTTTTCTGGGAAGGAAGACTTTAGGGATTTGAGGACTTGTCCAGCAAATCCTCACCCCAAAATGGTCATGCAGATCCAGGGCCCGCAAACTTTACGGCTACGGAGCTTTGGACTTCGACCATTGGGAGTTTCCGACTTGGACCCACGGGGCTCCGATGCTTTTCTTCCAGGTGAGGCATGGGAACTTGCGCTGGACTTGAAACTGTTTAGGAGTGGCTGTCAGCTCTCTCAAGTCGAGGCGATTTCCTCGATTTCAGAAAGGTTCGACGAGAACTCTGCCCCACCGCATTGTACCAGAGACATTTTGCCCAAAAGATGTTGGTAGAAGAGATTGAAATCCTAGGTTTCGACTGTAAAGGAGACGGCCGGATCAAGCACCTTGTGAGCACATCCTTTCTAGTTTGGTTAGAGCGTATCTGGGCCTGTCCATCCGATAGCTTTCAGCTTTTCTTGCTGGCTCTCAGCTGGGAATGAGTTGGAATGAGTCTATAAACCATCCAACTGGTGGTTTGCTTTCAGGGGACACGACTCGCCTGGGTTCATTTTCCCAACCAAGGGGCCTGGGTTCCACTCGGTCATTCCCAACGCGACTGGGTCAATCCCACCTCTCGTTTCTTCCCGAGACGAAGCACACCACCTGGACGGCCTGGACGCAAGACGAGGATCGCAGGCCGGAGGCCTCGCCCTGCCTTCGCTTTCTGGCTGAAGCAACTTGCGATCGGTGAACGAGAGAGGCAGGGAACGAGAAATGGGAACGACCCCAACCATCCCCTGTGGTTTCCTTTTTGGGAATCTTCATGTTCATTCCAACAGCCTGGGCCATTCCTTATGAGCACCAGCAAAGTCTCCTCGATTTGGTTTCATCTAAGGGAATCCCCTTCCAGTTAATTCCCAACACCCGGACGGTCATTGCTCAGCAAGCCAAGTTGCTTGAAATCAAAAGCCAAAGTTGCCCATCTGTCCATTGAAACGGACCCGTGGGTAGCTTTATGGAAATCCAGATCAGCGTGGGCTTCAGGTTTGGGGGGAACCTGATGTCTTAGTGTCTGGTGTGGTCTGTGGGTGATGAAGTGGCCTGGAAACACGTGTTTTTTTTTATCGCTAGGGTTTGGCAAATCGAACACAGGGCCTGCTGTCAGCCCGGCCATAATTGGTGGTTACACGTTTTCAGGCACAAACGCTTGCGGCAACTGCCACGCACAAGATCATCCAAGGCTTTTCAGAAGCTGAGATCAAAGCTTGTGCTGCACAGTTGTTTGACTGGTGGGATAAATTCTGGGCAGCCGTGGCCTTCAGACACCGGGTTTGCTCGTCTGACTTCAAGTTGTAGCAACGTTGCTATGGTGGACACTCTCCAAAATATTTGGTGGACATACGAATCCTCGTGGTTCTTTATGTTCACCAAAGGGCTCCCAAGTAGAGCTCATCCCATGTCAGCCGTGGCCTCCACATTCCCTGGGCACAAGCAGTGTTGAGCATAGCTCGTAGAAAGCTAGTCCTCCAGCAGCCCTCCATTCGAGCTCTACTCTGTTCTGTGTTAGTTTATATATATATATATGTGTGTGTGTCTTGGTTTGCAGTCATTTGTGCAAAGCCTAGAACACCGGCGGTTCCAAGAATGCCAATATGTGGCATACAGCAGGTGATCTGCTGTTTCAGACTCCTACCGTTTAGGGTCTCGTCAGGCAGAGTTGGCGGCATCCAAACAAAGACGCTTCTCCAAACCTCCAATGTCCAACCTCCAAATCAAATCTCGGATTTCGAACATTCTCCAAACAGATCCCAAACATCCAACGACACTTCTCCAAAGATCCAGCCTTCGAAACAGAACTCGGACATTCTCCAGATCCAACACATCGCGAACCATCCGGCCAAAGATCCGGCCCCGCTTCCGCAGGTCTTTGGAGACGGCGGCCGAGCGCTGAAGAAGTTGGGGATAAACATGTCAGCTTTGGTGCATTTTGCTTGGCTGTTAGGACTTTAACTTTTTGCCAACTAATGGGTTTTCCACTAAACCACTGGGATGATATTCACCATTGGGCATGATGTGTGACAGAATGCCATCGGATTCCAGTTTGTGTGCAGAAGGACCGGTGTATCAGGCCTCCGGAACAACGGTTCGGCTTCGGCTGTGTCAAAACCAGGGACCTTTGAACATGTCAACGGGAAGCTGGCACACCAGGGCCCCTGGTTGTCATGTTGGCGCTGGAAGCAGCCTCTTGCGACTTTTGGACAGACTGGAGCATGAAACACAAGTCAGCTCATGTGGGCATGGGTCAAAATTGACCACCAGACCGCGGGTTTTAGTCCATGTTTCGATTTACCCTGCGTACCGATTTTTGACCCACAGCCATGTACAGCTACATTGTGTAGTACTCTATGGTCAACTCGGATGTGCAAGACATCTTGCAACAATCAGGAGCCCTCACCTCCTGTTCCCATGTCCCTTGGAGGCAACAGCATGCTTTACACGAGCGAACGTTGAACCCTCGTGAGGCAGGTGAGCTGCGAAGTTTTGGTGAACAATCTTGCCATAGAATCGCTGTGACCATAAGTGGTTGTTTGCTTGATTCATGGCTGTGGGGACTCAGACTCCTTCAATTCCTGACCGGATTGGGTTCGTTTCTGTTGATCCCTGATGCCCTTTGCCCTTTTCATCGTGTCCACCTTTCTCAGTTGTTCAAAGCGAATAGACCTTTTGACCTTTTGACCTTTTGATTTTCCCTTGTTGGTCCATGTTTAGTAAAAGCCCCAAAGGGTGATCCTTTGATTTCCAGGTCCTTTGGACGAGTGAGCTTTTGATCACGAATGGTTGTCTCGCTTCCCGAGGCAAGAGACATGAGGGTGCAGGTCATGAGCAATGAGCTGGCTCGCTTCGTCAGGCGACGTGGAGCCCTAGACCTTGGTTCTTTGGCTTCACCTTTTTGTCGGCTAAGTCAAGCAAAAGGCTTTCCCCTTTTCTCATGGCCGGACTGTCAATTGGGAGTCTTAGTCAGCAAAGGTCCCTAGTAAGGGAACCAGCTATGACCATGGCCCATTTACCATGGAACGTGTGACGTGTTCCTCTTTTGTTCTGCTGGTTTGAAGGGGAAGGAAGCATCAAGCTACCCTCCAGAGCTGACATGAAAGCTCTCCGGTGGCCTTCTGGGAGCTTTCACGGTCGGGAGTGTAACTCGAGACCAAACTTTTGCACTTGCAAACGACCATATGAATGGCGGCCGTTGCCCTAGGGCGGCCGCGCAGCCGGAGTTGGAAACAAGTTGGGGTGGATTGAATTCACGGCTCTTTGATCAATACTGCTGACTTCACAAAAGCCAGAGAATTACTGGATTCTTGTTTGGGCAAAAGGGGTGGGGGGGTGATGTCACCCATGAGGAAGGTTGTTGATGGCTCCTTGCTGGTCCATTTCTGATTTCAGGTTGGCTCGATCATATCAAACTCCAACAAGGGCCGAGCCCTCATGCTCCCATGTGGGTCTGTGTTCTTTCTTTGAGGGCACCCCTCCCCCGCCCCGCCCCCCCCCTTCTTCCCCCCCCTTCTTCCCCCCCCTTCTCCGCCCCTCCAAAAAAAAACACAAACAAACAAAAAGCTGGGTTCCTTTTTGGTTAACACCCTACACCCGAAAGCAAAAGGGGGTGTTCCCTCAAAGGACGAGCCATGCCCTGTACGGTTTTCGGCAATGCCTCTTTTGCCAGGCCCGGCAAGGTGCAGGCCTCAGCCTGCCTAATGGCCCAATGAGAAGCTAAGGTCTTTTTTTTTATGTCAGTGGTTGGTGGTTTTCCTTTCACCTTCTTAGGGGGTGACTTTCCTGGTATCATGGGTGTGGAACCGTTTGGGAGGGGGGGGGGCAGTTGGGTCCTCAACACCCCGACAGCTTTTTGGATGAAACAAAGACATGTGCCGCTGGGGAGTTTGCTTTGGCACTCCTTTTGGTCTCTCACTGTCATACTTTCAAGGTGCTCAACAGACGACCCTTGGTTTCCTTTTGGCATCTCTTGAAAGCCATCTAAAAGGGGGCAACCCTTATTTGGAGATGGGCCCTGGAAAAACTTGTGGATCACCAAGCAGCCATTATCCTTTGAGTTGTTTGAAGGGCCAACAGCCAGTCGGTTGCCTGCAGAATCAGAAAAACGCAACCTGGGACTAATAAACACCCTGTTGAGCAAGAGGATGTTGGGAATCCTTCACTTCGCCGGGAAACGCCCTGGCAATCCGCAAGGTCTTGATCTCAAAAGCCAACGGAATCACTGAGAAGTCTGGAAGGCGAACGGCTTCAAGAACTGTGACCCGCAACTCTTTCCGGATTCTCCTGACATTCAAAGCTCGTAGGAGGTACCTTGGGGATCCTTGAAAAATGTATTTGTCAATGGGACTTCGTGGAGGCTTGGCGCCGCGAGGCAACCGGGCCTCCAAATGCCCGGGGGGCACTTCCCCCCGAAATCTAATTCCTCAGGGTTTCCGAGCCATCTCCAAAGCTTACCTGCAAAAGCGGCGATTTGAATGGAAGCCAGTCAATTGATCAACTGATTTGGGGAAATCTCCCGACATGGAAGCTCCCAGACGGCCTTTGATGGAACCGAGACTTCCAAATCCTGGGAGCTTCCATGGAATCGTCTTGGAGAGTAGCGTTCCAGTCCCAAAAGCTCGCCCAAGGCGGACTCGCGCCCTGGAAGCCGCGTGAGCTCGCGGCGATGAGTTCTTTGGGCTCGATTCGGACGGTGCCTCGGTCCCAGATGAACGCAGGTTTGAAGGTACTTGTGTCCATTTGCCAGGTGTTTTTTGGGGGTCCAGTTTTTTGAGCCATGGCAGCTTGTTGATTTATTTTGATGCGCAGTTGGCTCCCCACTCGTTCGCTGGATTCGGATGTTCGGCCGATCCAAGTGCTTGTTTAGTAGGTCAAAGTCACGTTCAGCGTAGGTGAGCTCTCGTTTTGGCCGTCGGCTGGGAGGTGGGTATGAATTTCAATTGGGGACCCTTTTGATGGACAAGGTCTACATGGGGGGATGCTGTCCACCAACCTTTTTCCATGTGTTCCACATTTAGATTCATAGCCAGTTGTGGTTTTTGTTTGTTTTTACCCTTTTTTTTAGGGGGAAGGGGGGGGGGGGAGGGCAGGGCGAAAGTGGGCGATTCCTTTTTGAACACCCAGGCAAGAAGTGGAGTTTGGAATGTTTTCTCCCTTACAGCCGGCGCGAATGGATCAAGATGGCCATGCTAAGCATGCCTTGCCAGAGCCGGAAGCCGGCCCTGAAGACACCTCTCCCAAAGGGTACATCCCAGTGGACATGCGCTTCGTACTGCCGAGCTTGACGTGATATCCCTCTCCCCCAACCAGACCGGGATCTGTTTTCTGTGCGATTTCTATGAGGTTCGCCATGGACCAGAATCAAACAGAAGGTTCACCATGAACCACGACTTCTTTAGGTTCGCCATGGACCAGAATCAAAACAGAGATGGAAGTCAGAGCAGTACCAATCCTCCACTTCGGCCAGCCGGCCAGACAAGTTTTTCGCCGACCCAGAGCGGTCCGGCGGCTTTTCCCGCGTCGATTTCAGGATGCGGTCCGCAGGCCGGTGGAAGGTTGCGCTCGAGCCCCATTTGCCTTCAATGAACTCTGTCCTTTGGGTCGAAACCTCATGGTCCCTTGGCTTTTTGTTGGGCTCCCGATAAGACAGCCCCCCAAGCTAGTCACCTGGAAGGACCCTCACTTGGAGATACCTTATGTCAAGTTTGTGAAGTATACTAATTAACTTGCCCAGATTGATCTAGCATTTGCACAGTCAGATGCTAATGCGTGTTCCCGGCCGCGGGCACTTGTTCTATGGAATTCACTGGTCCAGTGGCTTAAGTCCTCACACCAGAGCTCTCCAAAGGAGGCTCCGAGACCGTCGCTTGGTTGTCCTTGGAGGACCCTTTGGGGAAATAGCTGGCGCCCGGGATTATTTGTTGGGGTATGCCATCCTTTTCCTCAAAAGGGCCTTGCCAAACAAGGACAACCCTGACGCGAATACAAACTCTCCGGCGTGCGGAAAGAGGTAAAGGCAGCTCTTTGCAGGACTTGTTGCTTGAGTTGGATGCTCAACTTGTTTACCTCCCGCCAAAAAAAAACCATCGGTTATGTTCAGTGGGTACCGCATGGGGATTATGGTGACGGGCTGCATAACGCCTGTGCAACCACAGCACAACCACAAGTCCAAGGGCTTTGGGCGCTGATAACTAGGCAAGCAGGAGGTGAATGTCTTAACGGTAGACAGGCCAGGCGAAGCGGGCTGAATCCAAGCATGTTCCGCGGCGTATCAAGCATGCATGGTTGCTCCGCTGTTTGGGTTGTTGACTCCGGATCCCTGTCAGAATGCTCGCCGATTCGGGGGTTAAACGAGCTCATGATGAAGGTGCCTTATGGCGGGATTTCTCATTTACACGCTGACAGATATTGTTGGCAGTCTACAGTCTAATTTGGGGTCAACTCGGATTTTCCACGAAAGGGGGAAACACTAGAGCTCCCTCATAGTGCCCGACCAAACCCACAGGTAGACAAACAAATTGAGGGTTCCACGCTTTAGCCCCATATTAAATTTACTGTTGGATTTACTGTATACTTGTGTCGGCCTTTCATTACATGAGTTGGATTGCATGGCGAGGCAGACATGCTACTTCCTGCCTCCTGAGTTTCTGGACTGCGAACTTTGTTGGAAGACCATTTTCGTGTGGTAAACAAACAATTCTGACTTTTCGTGGCACATCCTCTCAGAAAGTGAGATGATTTTGTCCATAAACACACCTGGCTGACCATGGTTTCTCGTTGGGTCGAACCCGCGCTTTGCCTGTGGCCACCGCGTACGCGCCCAAGCTTGCCCCAGTGCATGATATGTGAGGACCAAAGAGCAGATAGCAAGAGAGCAGCACGAAACAGCATTGCCTCATATGGGTTTTCGTTGGGATGACACCTGCGATCTGAGAATTCCTGAACAATCCTCTTCGACCAGCAAACGCGCGAGTGGCTAAGCATCAGAAATCACCAATTCCAACGGCTGCTTCTTCAACTCGCCGCAAGCACCAGACACATGATTCAGGAACATTCATATTGCTCATTTTGTGTGAACAACCGGCTGCCAATCGATTACGACTTACGGGCACATGTCAGAAGCTGGTTAGATATAGACAAGCTCAACCTGTCCAACCTTGTGTTCATCAGACTCACTCACTTCCCGGCCAAGCTCGGTAATGATGGGGTTGAAACGACTGAATCACCGCTATAAACCTTGGAGTTGCAGGATATTTCCAAAAGAATACTCGTACGTTTCTGCCATGTCGAAGACCACTTGTACCAGCTGCTTTGCATGATTCAGCGACTCAGGCGATGTTGGATGTATCTCTTTGGGAACCCTTTAAAAGGTCATCAACACTTCCGAAGCTCGTCCAACCAGACCGCGGGTCTTGTTTTGCTTCCACGCAAGAACAACACGCCCCCTCCCCCTTCCCCGTTTTGATTCCCAGTGGACGGTCCTGGGCCCGTCCCTTCGGACGGCGATGTTCTGGCTGTACCTTTGGTCCGGTGCGGCTGGGGGGTCAGTGCCCATTGGCAGCGTCATTGTGACCCAGCTGAATCGCCACGTGCCGAGAGGCGCCTCGGACAAGCGAGCCATGGTCGGTCTCTTTTTTTGGCCTCGAAAATGGGTGGATTTTTGTTGCGGTGTCCCAACAAAACCACTCTTCAAAAAACGACCCACCTGAGTGTTGCTCAAAATTAGCTGAGCTAGTGTTTGAGCCATGCGTAAGAACCAATTCCCAGGAAGCCATTTTAGTAGGTAATACTTGGGGTTAGTTGGAGCTACAGTCTAGGTAAACCTCTGCAACCAGTCTATAGTGGAACCAACAGTGCATGTGTTTTGGGCGCATGTTTCGTTTGTCCCAACTTGCCTGGGAGCTTAAGCACCGGTTTCAGACCGGCTAGGCGAAAATGGGACCCGGACCGTGGGTGCGGAAAACTGGGTTGGACGAATTTTCTCCAGGGGAAGTCCCCCACAAAAATCGTCGCGATGGCCCGCTTTGGTATCACAAGAGCTAATCCACCGGGGCGTCCCGTTCTTTGTGTTGCAAAATGTTGATCCCAGATTGATCAACCAACCAGTTTATTACTAGGGGCTCCTCCAAAAGTGGTCTGAATCCCCACTAAAACCAGGGACACCCCGCTTATCAGTCAACAGGGGTTTGTTAGTACCTGGAACCCCGAGAAGCTGCTTTTTCCAGCCACTTTGCCCACTAAGTAGCCCATAATTTGGCAAACGTTAGAAAATAAGGGCAGCTGGGGATCTACTAGGTCCCCCAGTAGTGCCCTTCTCTCCCCTTTTTGGTTGGGAGGGTTCCCCTACTAAAATAGACTACAGAAAACGGGTACCCTTATTCTAACCTCTCTACTGGAGGACCTAGTCTAGGTGTGGGGTCAACAGCCCAAAGTGAGTCAGTCTCTTGGCCAGGCGCTTTGCCTGGGAAGCTCAAGTTGGACCCTTGATCTGTGGTGTTGAACAGATTTTTTTCTTGGTGAGGGGACCCCTTCCAAATCAATTTCAACCAAAGGGACGCTTTTGCCCACCCGGGCAAGTATCTTTTATGCCTTTTCTTCCAGTGGCTGGCTGGGTTGTGGCTGGGTTCTGGCAAGCAATTCTTGGAGTCTTGGAGTCTGCAGATCATGGAGCCCCTTTTTGGTTACAAGGACTTGTTGTGTGTGTGTGTGTCTTGTGTCTTGTGTCTTGTGTTTGATGTGTTATTTGTTCTCGGTGGTTTTCTTTCTGTTGTGACTAACTTTGCTGTTTGCTGAGGTTTACAGATGTTGCGTGTTGCTGTCTGATTGGCGGTTGCGTGAAGTTGTTATTTGTGGCTTGGGTCTTTGTGCGTTGCTGGTGTGCTGCTGTCGTGTAGTAAGATGTAGTCAGGTCTGGGCTAAGTCAGCTGCTCACACCTGGATGTCAGATTTTCTTACTGTAACCCAGAAGGTCCAAGTACCTTCCGAAGATAGCTTTTGGGGGGTAAAAAGAGGTCTAAGTACCTCCTTAACTTGGAAGGTACTTGGACCCTCTGGGTAACATGGAAAGAAGCCCACACAGACACACCTTCAGACAGGAGCATGTTCTGCGTCAAGAGAGCCAGGTGCATCCCGAAACAATCGCTGCGTGTTGCCGGGGTCAGGCGAGGTCGCTTACCACTCCGCCTATGTGACGTCGCTGACTACGAGCATCGCCTGCTTGTTGATGTTGCCTGCGGCCCTTGCGTCCAAGGCGCGGTCACGCTTGCTATTCTCTCGCTTTCTCATCCGAATGAACACAGTAGTGGGAATCCCAGATTAGTAACCTTTTGGTTGATTTGGATCGGGGGGTGTCCCCTTGCATTGGGGTTCATTACTTTTGGAGTGAACACCCCCCTATTACTAGGATGGGCTTACTAATCCGGGTCAACAGTAGCAGTTGATTCCTCACAACATGTTTACCCATCGTTTGCTCACACATTCCCATGCAATGCCATGGGGGCACCCATGACAATATTGGCCGCGGCTTGTGGGGGGCAGTCTCGCGTCAAAAGCTCTATCCCTCAAAATTCCAGAAACATGATTCGGGTGTGTTGTTTTTTCAAGGGTTGCCTTCTGCTTTGGCGTCTGCAGAACGGGGCAGATGGGCCTGGGGATCTTTCCAGGGCCTTCGGGTCCCTGGAAAGGAACCCAGAGCCGCATGCTCCACATGGGGATTCACCGTGGGATTTTTCTCAGGGAGGCCGATTTTCCCGATCGGCTGTCTGGAAATTGGTGGTTTGGATTTGAACTTCTGAACTTCTGATTCTCTGGTTCTTGAGGGTCAATGGGAAGTCCCCAAACCCCAAATCACCAGTTGGGAGGCTGAAGGTTGCTTGGCGTTGGGCCTGAGGCACCCTGGAGCTGGCCGAGCAAGTGGTACGCGCCCCTGGGAGGAGCGGCTTGGCCGCATTTTTATCCATTTGCTTAAGAATATTTTGTTTTTTCCCTCTAGTTGGTTTTAAAGGGAATGTATCACTACTGGAAATATGTTTTTTGTTTTTTTTCCAGGGGTCTTAACGATTGGGTGGTTCGGGGGGATGGGGGGGTTGAAGGGGGGGATTGGGGGGGGGGTGGGGATGTAATTTCGTTCGTCGGCACGCGCCTTGCTTTACGTGAGCCCATCGTGCACGCAGCAGTGCATGTGGGGGGCGGGGGGGGTGGGGGGGAATAGGGGGGTGGGGATGCAATTACGTTTGTCGGCATGCGCCGTGCTTTGCGTGAGCCCATCGTACACGCAGCAGCGTGGGGGGGGGGGGGGAGGGGGAGGTAAATATGTTTGTTGCCGTGTCACGATGCATTTGGAGTATGTTTTGCTTTTGAAAGTGGAGGGGCGTTTTCTGTTGTGCAGAGGTTCACACAAGTAGCACAAGGAAACCCTTGCAGGAATTGGTATACAAACGCATGTACATATAATTATATATATATATATATATACACGTATGTATATGTATATGTATGTGCGTCAATAAACATTCTGTGGCCCATCAGGATGTCGATATTGAACATGGGGTCCTTGCCAGTGTCATGACATTCACAAGACACCAAGCGACCACACATCGACGTTTGCAGAGGGTTTTCCTTTTTGGGGCGACCCTTTCTGTGACAAGCACGGTGATATGATGCTCAGCAAGGACGGTCATACGAAGGCTCTCCGCATGCAAAATGGTGTTCGCTGTGTCAAGTAGTTGCACCTCATTGCGAAACAGTCCTCGAACTCTTGAATAACGTGGCGCTCGTGGGACAAAACATAGGTTTGCATGTGAAGCTGCTTGTAATTGCGGCGCAGAAGGGTGTGTCTCAGGAAAACACCTTTCCCCCATGGAATTTACGGCGCATGAGCGCAGAGGCGGTGACGTGCATGAGAAAACCTCACGGCCGGCTATGTGCCGTATACCTAGGTAGTTTCGGGGCAACTTTCTTTCGCCCTCCCTTGTCTTCTTGCTGCTTCGAGAGATGCAGGGAATGAGAAATGGAATGACCCCAAGAAAACCATCCCCTGTGGTTTCCTTTTGGGGAACTTTTAGGTTCATTCCAACACCCTGAGCCATTCTTTATGAGCACCAGCAAGTCTTTTCCACATCGAAGTGAAGGGTGGAAGTTTCTTTTGGTGGAGTGTTTTTTGTGACTTCCGAACCAAGCATTGAAGGCACACTTCTTTGCCTATGGTGGCTGGAGCCAAACGAAAGTCTCAGTTTATAATTCCAGGTGTATAGGTGTCCTCTTTAGGTTAGTTTGGCTAGAAATAGATGGGCTCCGCTGGTTTAGATTGATATTATTCCAATCTACCAGCTTCCATTTGCTTGAGCACATTTGCTATGTTCCCCTGTTGGTTCAGGGAATAATATATTTCACTACTTTTCTTTTTCCAGGGGAAAAACAAACTGCCAAGGGCCAGGGAAGTGAGAAATTTGTTCCCGCCAATCATGCAGGGGTTTGAAGCGGAGAGGCCTTCATGATGGCCGACTTTCTCATCGTCCCCGCCTTCCGCGTCCTCGGCATTCAGGTTGCTCCTTGGCTGAAAGCTTGGACCGCTTCGGTCCCGAAGAGGTTGCCTCGCAGGGAAAGCCTCAAATGGACATGGCCCCGTTTGGTGTGGAGACAGAAAACCAGAGGCAACCAAGCATTTTGGGTTTGGCTCCCGCTCCCATATGCTGGAAACATGCAGGGAGTGAAGTTGGGCAAGGTCAGAGAGAGAGAGAGAGAGTGTTGGGATCATCGTCAGCCTCGTCAGCGTAAGTCAGTGTCTCATCCTCCTCGTTCCCCTCCTCCTCCTCCTCCTCATCATCATCAGCAGCATCATCATTGCCATTACTTGTCAACCATTATGACCATGTCCTGACAAGCGGTTGATGACTGACACAAGCATTGACAGAACCTCTTTGCAATCCGTCGTCTGACATACCCCATGAAGGTCAACTACTTGTTGCGCATGATGTCAAGCCTTATTCTCCAAAGTGTGGGAATCGTTGTAATTTCGATGCCTGGCTACTTTTTCCCTTGTGCATTTGGCCTTGAATACGTGCCTTTTTTTGAGGAAGTAGTCTTTTTTTTCCGAGCCCCGTGAGATCTCGGTCCAGACTTCCGACGAACCGAGTGGGGTTGCCCTTTTCCTGCCTTCCTCGCAGGGCAATCTCTCAACGGCCTTCGTTGGGAGATCCCACGGGAGTTCCCACATGTGCAAAGCTGCTCTTTGCATCTACCCGCGCGCAGAAACAGCCGCTCCAAGGCGACTGATCAAAGGAAGAGCAGTGGTCTCCCAAAGAAAGCGAAGTGTCCCAAAGCCCAAAGTGCAGGATCTTCAGATCCTTTTCTGAGCAAGCCTTCTCGGGAGCTTGCACGTTTTCCGGGTTCAGGAGCAACTGACACCAGTGGCTCGTGTGTGAGCCCGGTGCAAGCTGTCCAGTCCTACCAGGCAACAAAAGAGAGGCTCCCAAAGACTGGTGGATCAATCCGGCAAAAGCAACAAACAAACAACAAACAAATGGAAGTCTCAGCAAAAGGGCTTTCGTGCTCGCGTCTACCCAAGCGCAAGAAACCTTGTTCAAAAAGGAGGAGTCTCGTTTTGAAGGGGTCGGGTTTTGGGGATTCCATGTGAATTTGCAGGGAGAGTGGGTGGAAGCATACCCTCCAATCATCGAAGCTGATGGGAGGGTTTTGCAGGATACCGTGGATGGACGAAATCCATGGCGCACCACCAAAGAAGCCCTGGAATGATTCGATTCCCCTGCAATTGCCAACAATGGTTATGGTTTTAACCATGTTTTCAAAGTGCGAAAAGGATTTTGCCCATCCACAGTGCCTTCCTTTTGACTTGAGGAAGCCCACTTTCCGGAGGTTGTCAACGCATGTCGTTGTCTTCAGGTGCTGGTGGCGATGTTGCTGGGCATGCTGTTCACTGGCATGATCTTCGACTGCCGCGAAGGCAGGACATAAGCCAATTTAAAAGAGCCGAATTTCGGTGTGGAGATTTCCCCAGGCTGATGAAGCAATCACTTAGTGAGACGTAGAGGGCATCCCAGGCAGCTCCAGGAGAGCTGAATGCCAGTTGACTCATTGCCTGCAGCTTCCTCCCCAAATCCTTCAGCTGGGACTCGGTAGGCCTCCTGAAGTACACGGAGTACCGACGCCTCTGCGGCTTCCTGGTGGTCATGGTCGCAGTGGCGATGTCCCGCGGCCAGGATTCGTTCGCCGGTCTCGCCGGTCTCGCCGGTCTCGGGGCCGGGCAGTCCCAGCGTCGTTTGCCGATGGTTTGCCTTGTCCACGGTTTGTGAGATTCAGACCGCCCGCCTGGTAGCTTTGGGGGGCATTTTGCTTGGATTAATCCACTACAAATTAAGCTTTTAGAAGGGGAGCAGAAAGCAACCTGGGTAGTGTAGAACCCTTTTCAAGGGAGCCTGTTCATTTCAACGGAAAAGGCACACCTTGTTTCCAATCCAGTTGACGCCCCTGCAAGGTAAACCAACAGCAAGATGCAAAAACGGGACAGCGCTGTTGACCCGCCACAACTTGGTCCATCCTAACAGCAGAACCAATGTCGGGTCCTCTTTTTGGTAGCTCCAACGATTGCAGCCCGCGCCAGCCTACCAGCCGCCAAAAGGCCCCCCCAGCGCATTGTAGGGCTGTCAGAAGTGGGAAGCGAAGCCTTTGTGCGTTACTCCTTTGGAACGGCTTGGTTTGAGGGGGCGCGCTCCTGGAAAACGCCAAAGGCCTTAAAGCAAACGCCCAACCAGAAAATCCATCCGGATAATTGTCTGCACTTGTATGCTGTTGGTCCATCCGATGAATCTGCTATTTGTCTTATTTTGCAAGGCTGGCGCAACTGTGATACGCACTTGCACACTAGGGTTGTTATACACGTCTGAGAAAGCAGTGCTGGGATGGGTCGGGCGCGGTGATGTTCAAAGGGGGGTGTGGGTCAAAATAGGTACCGAAACTGGGAACCTGGACAAATGGAATCATGGACTGCAGCCTGCGGTCCACTTCCTGGTGGTTTAATTTTGACCCATACCGATGGACCTGTTTATATTTTGGCGTGTTCGCCATTGCCGCGTCGGCATCTCAGAAACTATGCGGCTCTGCCTGGGGAGTCGGACGCCGCAGCCCACTTTGGTGCCAGCTCTGTAGCGAAGCCTGGCGGATGTGACAGGGAAGGGGCGGCTTCAAAAGGGCGACACTTCGGGCGATTTGGCCACAAATCTGATAGGACCAAAGTTAACACCGAGTCACGGTTGGTGAAGGGCGGGAAGTGGTCATAAATAGAAGCGCCGTTGTGTCTTGCCCTTCTTCTTTTTTAACAGTGTCTGTGTGTGTATGTGCGCGTTTGGGTACCTCGCTATGCTGTTGGAATGAGGGGATCATGTGTCTCCTCCCATTCCTCCACGCAGATATACGTGTCAATAGGATGCAGTTTGACCGGCACGCATTTCAGGGATAAGGCCGAATGGTGTCAGGTTCAGACTTTACGCCACTGGAAACTAGCAGGAACGTAAAGTATTTCACCTGTAAGTGTTTGCTCTCATTCTGCCTTCCTTCTTTGACACACAGCCAGTGTTTAGGAGTAAACTTCTGACTTGTTTTGTTCGGAAGTCATTTGTAGGCATGTGTTGGGGGATGGGTCTTCCGTTTGGTTTTCCGTGTTTCTATTTTCGAAGGGACAGCGCTTCTTTACGTCCGATCTCCCAATCTGCACAGACTTCGCTTGCGACTGGCGTCTGCATTATCTTACTTGCTGGTTCTCAGCGGGGAATGAGAAATGACATGACCCCAAGAAAAGCCATCCCCTAATGTTGGAGTCCAGTCATCGAAATGGCTCGGAAAATCGAGAGCAGGAACCAACAGAGCCCAACATGTGGCGCACCAAGAATGAGAGCCTTGGAGTTTCCAAACATCGGCGCTCTTCATATTTCTCAGAGGAGTATCCTCTGTCTGAATCGCATCCAGGCCCGCCAGGTTGGGCACAGGGACTCCAGGTGGTGTGTGTTTTTGCTTTTCAATCTGTTCAGGGTTCCATAAGGATTGTCAGGCGAACCACCCAGTTGCCCAGTGCTACCCTTTTTTTTGTTTTTCCGGTAAGGGGTCCCCTTTAAACTCAAGCAACAAAAAAAAGGTGCCCTTTCTTCCCATTTCCACTTGGCATCTGAGACCATTCCGATTGGCCCAAATGATGATGTTTCAAGCATTTGACAGAGCACTTTCAGGACCCTTGTGCGTGCATTCAAGTGAGCACAGGAGGAGGGGAGGGGAGCTCTCCAAATTGCATCTGTGGGATGAACTCACTGTCACGACCATCTAATGGCTGAGTTTGAAACTATCACTTTGATGCAGGCGGTGTGTTCACCGCCTCCTGAATCGATTCAACATGGATGCCTAGTTGAATGGTGCTTCGCACTTCCAGCATCAAAATCGGCAAGTCTTGTCATCATTTACATTTTCAACCGGTTCCTTTGCCGGGTGTTGGTTGCGACTCAACTGATGTAAACCTTGACATCAAGCGTGCTGCCTTGTCTGGCGAACCGCAACTTGCTGCTCCTTCGGCTTTTGCCACGAGGCCCCTATGATCAATGAGTACACCCCTGACTAACATGGAACCCATTAAAACATCATTTAATAGGGGTGTCTCCTTTCTTGCAGACCCCCTTTTGGGGTTTCATGTGAATTCCCAGGGGGTATGTGGATATAAATTTCGGAGGGCCCTTTTGCGGACCTACGTCCACCAACCATACTCCGTGGTATAAGAGTATATGTGCCGGGGTCAAAGAACTACTTTATTTGGGGTCACAAGGAGGTGGTTGTCCACCTAGTAATTAAGCATGCCGTAGGGCATAAAAACCGTGGCGCTCATATGTCCGGGGCCCCAATCATATTGGACAGGAAAGCCCATCAGGGCAAGAGTTTGTCCAGTGTGCAGAACTTCCAGAACAAATCAGAGGACATTGCCTAATGCTTCAGACAGGGCGGTGTTCCACAATCAAGTCCCGATATGGTGTCTAGGCCCCAGGCCCACACTTGTCCTTCGCCAAGGTATTTGCTCATTTCGTTTGGAGTGGGATGTGGATATGCGCTGCTGGCAAAGTGCAACAACCAGTTGAGCAAGGAGCTCGCTTTCGCTCGGTGCTTCTTATAGAAAGACATGAGCCACGAAGTCGTCCGAACATCCTGTGGATCTTCATAGAGGGCGTCGTTCCTGGCTGCCAGCAGAAAAAGACCTTGATCTCAGTCGTAGCCTGCCCCGGGTTTTTCGTGGACGGGCGGTGCCAGGAATTGTCGCCAAGTATGGGTCGCCTGGATGGCATGGATCTGAGGCTGAGAGGTTTTCTTGTCCTGACAATCAGCTTTGTGACAATCAGCTTTTTACGGACATGTTGGTAGGCCCTCAGTACACTTGCACACCGCAGAGACATGTTGGTGCTTTGCTTGGGTCGTTTTTAGGGAGGCATGCAACCTTTCCCCCGCGCTGTGATCAATGCCTTGCATTTTGCGGAGCTGAATATTTGCTATTCTCCCCTGTTGGTTTTCAAAGGAATCTACCACTATACTGGACCTATGTTTGTCCAGGAGACTTCAGCAAATGGAGGATGTTGTGAGTGGTTCTCACTTCATTATGCTGCTGCCGCTGACGCACCGCCGCCGCCACCCGTCCTTCCTCTGCGTTTGCTTTTGCTTTGCTTTAGAAGGCGTTTGCCTTCTAAACCGTCATTCACCACAGCCAGTGCTGGAATGCACCTTGTAGCACTGGACAGCAGAGCTGATGGATACTCACACGTGAAGGTCCCTTTCCTAGGAGTTTCATTCTTTTTCCAGAGAATTTTGCCCTGGGTAGGTAGTGTGTCAACTTGTTTTTTGAGGGAACCCTTTTGAAAGGAGGCATGCGGAAAGCCATAAATTTGGCACCCCACCAGGCATCAGGCTCTGCTTCCCAGATCGCGCCGGCTTGCGCGCTGCCTCAGGACCTAGGCACCTCCATGCGGGCATCCGCATTTTCCGCCGCGGTCACCGCCGCAAGTCTGCAGCAAAAGCGCGATTTAGGCGTATGTTTTCCTTTGTTGGGTGGGGGCTCCCCACAAAATAATTACAGGTTTCCTCCTCTTTGGTTTCCCTTTAAAACCACCAAAACAAGGGTACCTGCAAAAGACACCCCTATGGCACCCCTGGCCATGTCTTCGTAGACCAGAATACTCTCCTACAGACGGGGGTGGCGTGGGTTTGAAGGGAAAAGGAACGCCACCATGTTGGGAGGTCCCTACACCTGGTGGTTCCCGAAGGCCATCCGGTTCCGTAGCTTTTGACCTTTTTAGTTGGTTAGCAGTTGGGGACCCTTCCTTGTGGTTCGCCTTTTAATCCACAAGCCAAGCAAGGGGTACCCCAAGACTCCCCCACAGAGGCTTTGCGCCGGAATTGTCTCAAGGTCGTTGTTGGGGCTGAGCAAGCCTTTTGGTCTACCTGAGTAGATCGAGTCACCCGAACGAGCAAGACACGATCTACTCAGGTACCGTGGAAGAGTTCTTTTGGTCAGCCTGAAGCTACATGTCACTGTTCATAAAGTATGTAGAAAGGGATTGCTGCGAAGCAGCGCATGTCACAACTTCTAAGGAAGAGCTTCACACCCTGCTTTCTAAGAACGTCACACCGAACCGCCGTAGGCACTTAAGCCACCTATCCTCCATTGAATTGCCAAACTTTCTGGCGGCCCGGTCGACCCAGGAAACCAGACACTTTTCGCGGGTCCAAATATGGCCATGGGTCAAAGGCTCAAAAGCCAGTGAACATCCCAATCCCCACTAAAATAGGTTCTAAAATGGGTGGTGAATTCACCTACCCCAAAATGGGATCCCATTGGTTTTGACAACCACGGCCATCTGCCAGGTGGCATGCCGGATACCGCTGATGATTTGGATCCACAGCTCCAGGGGTCTTTTGCCCACCTTCCACTCGGATGACTGGTACTGGCTGGAGAGCCCAGATTCGACCGGCTTGAGGGAGGCTGATGGGCTCACCGTTTTTGACAGAATCCAAGCAAATGTACCAGCAAGAAAAGACACGGAACGACGGAACCCCTTTTTCCTGGGATAGTCAACCCAAACCTGCAGTCTGCAAATGTGAGTACTGGGAAAGGGAAACGGACCCCTAAAATCGGCCGTGGCTTCCTAGAGATCTGAGCGAGCTCTTGGAGATCGCTGAGAAATGTAAATGAGTTTCCCCTTGCAACATGCATGTTATCATGTGGAGAATCGTCTTGAAATCGACACATTATGATTCTAGCATCATGATTTGGTTTGATGTTAACTTGCTTGAGACTGGGTTGGATCTTTAGAGTTTAACTTTTTGGAAAGCCCCGAATTGGGCCCGGAGAAAGTCATTCACTTTTTGCAGAGGGGTCCAGAGCAACCAAGTTGAGATCTCCTTTTCATTCGTGCTCCCAAGCTGGTTGATTCTTTCCATTTCGCCGGTTGCAGGCTCTGACCATAGAGGCAGGACTACCCAAGATGACGGTGATGCGGATGAGGGTGTATTCTTGGCGAACTGGATTTGATTTGGGAGAAACGAGCACAGTTTTGATTCCAACGTCTAGTGGGCCTACAGGAGGTAGAGAGAAGAAAGCTAGCTCCCTAGAATGGACAAGAGATAGTGACCGTTCCTTTCCCATTTTGCAAGGGTGCCTCTTTTACTGGCGTCTATGACAACCCAAACAGAGACTGAGAGGAGCCAGTCCTTGAATTTGTTTGTGTGTCAAGTTGCAGGAATTCAGTGATTTGATGTGATATGCTCTGGGTGAATTAGAACGACCTCACATGACCTCTGTGGGGAATAGAACCCAAACCACCTTCTGTAAAGAGGTTGACCGAAGGGAAGGAACGGCATGCTGGAATGTAGCTTCCGTTCAAGCTTCTTTCGAAGGAAGGAAGCCTGTCGGTCCGTGCATAGCAATTTGATACGTGGGGGTTGCTCAACATTCCTGGGCCCCAAATGACAATGAGTACCTCTTACCATTTAACGAGACATATCATCCGTTGAGTGGTTTTCCCCAGTGGTCATCCCATGTATCACAGACCTTTTGGTCAACCCCAGGCTCAAAGCATGGGGTTTACCACAAGGCGCGGCACCAGTTGAAGCCCCAAAAACAGAGTCAGAGAAAGACGGCAGAGACATCGAACGGATTCCTTCGAAATGCTTTCTTGCACATTTGGGTTAGCTCTATTTCTTTTTGAGAGCGAGTTTCGCCTTGCGTATCCTAGGTGTCACAGCTTAGCCACGGGTGTTTAGTTTGCCTCCTGTCAACCCAAAGCCCAACCTGCTTGTCGAACCCTGATGTTCCGCCTTCAACCCTAAACGAAGCTTAAAATGAGGTCCAACAGTCCAGCCTGTTTTAGTTGGCTGTTCCAAAGAGTTGCAGATTCTTCTCGACTCGCTTCCATGGACAAAACCCAGCAGGCAGTTGGTCAACCAGTTTTCATAGGGCTTCGCGAGATTTGAAGTCAGGGACCCCTTGAATCGTTTCCATCTCAAGTTTCGAGGTTCCTGGGCTCAGCGCTGCAGAACGCCTTCTACATTCTGTCAACGGCGAAGCTTCCGGGCCTCCTGGGCTACTCCGCGCCTCAACGAGTGCAGCCCTGGGATTTATCTGGAGTGCTGGGGTGGTGCCTCTTTGAAGGAAGCGGACTATTTTGGGCGTAGGGCCCTCCTTGTTGTTTCTTTGAAGTTGACATGAACCCTCTTATGTCCACTTCCGTGACAGGGGAAAGAGGGCAGGATATGTGTAATCATGAAGAATCAAAGAGCACCTTTGATTAGTTGGACTAAACCCTTGTTTGAAAGAAAACCGTGGGAATGGTTTTATCCACTTTGTGACATCCGGAAACCTGCTTTTTGCGCGAAGAATGGCGATTGAAGAAGGCAATTCCCAGCGCTGTTGACTCTGTTCGGCCCTCTCCATGCGGACTTAAGCTTGGCTTCTCTTTCCGCAGCCACTGGGCGAAGCTGCAGCCCAAGTAATCGCATCCGAGGTGAACAACGTCGTGATGCTTCTGTGGCTGCAGATGCAAAACAGTAAAGCACCACAAGCCAAGGCGTTTTCTGCGCATAGTTCCTTACTCCCATGCAGATAACATGGGCATCCCAAGAAGGGGTCCACCAACTGGAGATGTGTCAAACAAAAGGTTTTTAAACGGTTCCTGTTTGATCCCACTTGTGTGAAGCACACATCTGTGTTTTTTTGTTTTAAATTATTCAGCCCCGTTTCCCCTAGATCTCCCGAACAACTTCGGTTGCCTCGCGAAACAAAGATTGGCAAACGGGGCCTTCGACAACTTTGTGATTCTTGGGTTCTCACCATCCAGTCTACGCTGACTACCAACAACCACTATTTTGGGAGGTCCCCCCCAAAAAAATAAGACACACCCATGTGTTCCTTTGCAAGGCGTCTTTGTTCGGAGATGGTTCGCAGTGACAGTTTCGGGGTCAAAGGGATGGTGCTTGGAAGCTCTTCGGGGGTGACAGCCAAGAACCTATGGCTTCGACATTCGGACGTTGCGCGAATCTCTCTCTTGAGGCACCAAGTGATTCCATTTACATAGGTAACCAAGGGAACCCGATATTGAAAATCAAAATATACCGGAGAATTGCTGGTTGCCTACTGTAGTCTTCCATTTGCTGAAATGAATATTTGTTGTTTCCCCTCTTGGCTTTAAAGAGAATCTATCACTACTGGATCAATATGTTCTCATTTTTTTCAAGGGGCCAAAAGGCAAATGGAAGTAGTGGCTGGGCTCGAATCAATTGGGCTCGCATCACCATGGATCATGTTGTTTCGTCAACATACCCTGGGAGGGCGCAAACCGTTTCGCAACACCTAAGTCCCGGAAGGATTCCCCTGCAAGTACCAACAAACAATGGTGTCCCATAGTTTCAAAGTGCTGCAGGCTTTTGTCCATCCACAGTAGTTTGTCGATTGTCAGAATTGCGATACCCCGACAGAGAGAAACAAACGCAACGGCGCATATTACCAATCCGGATTAATGTCTAGTTTCTGGATTCGGTCAGATTCGGTCATACTTCCGGGTAATATATGCAATCACTCCCAAATGTTGGGCTGGAAAAGGCAGCTTGGAGGCCAGGGTTTCTTCCACATTTAGTCAAGATTCCCAACAGGCTCTGCTATTGTCCATCAACAATACTATTGTGGATGGGCACGTCAGTTATCCAAGTTGCATACGAATCTCCTCTTGTTTTTCCTTTAAAAGCACCAGGCAAAGGAAATACCCTCGAAAAGAGACACCCCCACATTCGCCCAACTAGGTCCCCCAGTGCCCTTTTACCCATTCTTTTTTGGGGGAGGGTTCCCCTAAATAGATCAAACAGAGAACAAAGATCGGGCCTTATTCGAAGCTCTCTAGTGGAGGACCTAAGGCTGGTAGGGAAGTTGTGCTGCAGCGCGCTGGTGGACGCTTTGGGCTGGTCGGGCCATAAAGTGCCTGTGGACCTCGTGCGCGCGCTGAGCATGGTGATGGCGCCTCGGCTTTTCCTTTAGCGCATTTTGCCAAGGGATGTTAGGACTTTTAACTTTTTGCCAACTAATGGGTTTTCCATTAAACCACTAAAAGCTAAACTTTTAGAAGGGGAGCAGAAAGCAACCGAGTTTCTATTGGTCCTTGAAGTTTGGCGGTTCTCTTCGACTTTATGAGTACTTTCAAGGAATCAACGAGCCACTAAGAGTCCATTCGGGTTTGAAACCGTAGGAACCATTGGTTGGGAGTGTCCTTTTAAGCGAAAACTGCTGGTTGGAATCCAACTCTTTGGGGTCCCCATTGAAATTGGTGAACACCTCTCAGTAGCAAAAACCAAGCTGAAATCCTTTCCCCTTTTGGGCAAGTCAGAGAACTATGTGGGGCCGGCGGGCGTGCTTGGTATTTGGATTATTTCTTTATGCTGAGGTGAAATCTCCGCAATGGATCGAATGCGTGCAATCAAGTGCCTTTGCCATTCGACCTGGTGAGACTTGAGACCCCTGATTGAGTCGCTCGATTCGACCAGACTCCTTCTCAGGACAAAGATGCCATGTTTGGAGGGCCCTGTTCCGCCCTTCAAATCAACCACCAGCGCACACAGGCATCCTATTTTTCCCTGTGGTCATTGGTCAATGAGGAGAGCAAAGAAGAAGGGAGAAAGGCAGATGTTACAGTAGACTAGCGTGTCATACGCCGCCTGCAGATTAGCATGGAACCCCGAAAAACCATCATGTTTAGAGGAATCTACTTTAGTTGGCAGGGTTTCTATGCATGCCTTTCAGGATGGTTTGAGCAGATCCTCTCGGGCTGATCCGTAAAGTAGGTTCCTATGTCTCGCTTGCACGTTGCAAGTGCCTAAGTGCCTAGGTCTTGACACGTCCTCTCCCCCTTCAGCCCATTGCCGGTAGGGTGGCACTTGAAAGCTTGGGCCGCATGCGATCTGGGGGCATTCCCCAAATGCCCGAGTTGTTCTTTTTGTTGGTTCTTTTTTTCAAGCAGAGCGATTCTTCAAGAGCCGTTCAGAAGTAACTGGGTCATCCCCAGAGTCCCTCGGAGAGAGTGGCGTCCGAGGTCTTTGTAGGCCGGATGGTTGTCGCCGGCTGGGGGCAGCTACTCCTTGGGTTGAAAACAAAGGAAGGACGCCAAGCAACCTGTGTTGTTTGCGTCAAGGGGTAACACGCCCTCCGAAAAAGAATGTGGCTGTGGGTCAATAAACGGTACCCAGTTTGGAACCCTAGTAAACGGAACCAAGGACGAAAACCTGCGGTTACCTGGTGCTTTAATCTTGACCCATACCCATGTGGGTCTGATTTGTTTTGAGGGTAATGTTGGGTCTGCTTTATTTCCCCCCGAACAGTGGAAGCAGTCAACGGGTCCTTTTTAGTGAAAATCCTGGAGGTCTGGGTGGGACTTGGACTTACTAACGCTCTTGCTAGCGCTTACTTTAGTATTGCCAAGACTTAGTTTTAGTTTTTCAGTCCTGTCCTTACTTCAGTACTGCCAAATTATTGCCAGGACCTCCTCGCAGATTCCCAGTCCTTACTTTAGTATTGCCAATTTAATTTTCAAGTATTGCCAAGACTTACTCTCAGATTCCAAGTCCTTACTGTTGTATTGCCAATTATATTTTTGGATTGCCAAGACTTAGTCTCAGATTCCCAGTCCTTACTTTAGTAGTGCCAATTCTATGTGAGTACTGGCAAGACTTAGTGTCAGATTCCCAGCCCTAGCTTTAGTGTTGCCAATTCTGTTTTAGTTTTGTCAAGACTTACTCTCAGATCTCCAGTGCTTACTTTAGCATTGTCAATTCTTGTTTACTATCCCCAGTCCTTTCTAGCAGTTCTATTTGCGTAATGCAAAGACTTACTCTCAGATTCCCAGTCCTTACTGTAGTACTGCCAAATGATTGCCAGGACTTACTCGCAGATTCCCAGTCCTTACTTTAGTATTGCCAATTTAATTTTCAAGTATTGCCAAGACTTACTCTCAGATTCTCAGTCCATTCTGTAGTATTGCCAGTTCTATTTGAGTATGGCCAAGATTTACTCTCAGATGCCCAGTCCTTACTTTAGTAGGGCCAAGTCTATTTGAGTTTTTCCAAGACTTAGTCTCAGATTCCCAGTCCTTACTTTAGTGTTGCCAATTCTTTTTTATTTTTGCCAAGACGTACTCTCAGATTTCCAGTCCTTACTTTGGCATTGTCAACTATTGTTCAACATCCCCAGTCCTTACTTTAGCATTGCCAGCTCTATTTGCGTAATGCAAAGACTTACTCTTAGATTCCCAGTCCTTACTGTAGTACTTCCAAATGATTGCCAGGACTGACTCGCAGATTCCCAGTCCTTACTTTTGTATTGCTGGTATTGCCAAGACTTCCTCTCAGATTCCAAGTCCTTACTTTAGTAGTGCCAAGTCTATTTGAGTTTTTCCAAGACTTAGTCTCAGATTCCAAGTCCTTACTGTTGTATTGCCAATTATATTTTTGGATTGCCAAGACTTAGTCTCAGATTCCCAGTCCTTACTTTAGTATTGCCAGTTCTATTTTAGCATTGCCAAGAAAGCTAATGTTTGCCCGGTTCTTTTGGCCTGTTGTTTTCTCATTGTTTTTCTTGCAAAAAGCACTTCTATGAAAGGGACCCCCCGAAACAGTCACAGGATTGTGAATTAGGAGTCGCATTCTTTGAACGGGTCCCCAATATGAAAGCAGGTCCAACAGTACTCCTTTTGGTGGTTTTGAAGGGAGACAAGCCATTGTGTTTGTTTCCTTTTTTGGGCGGCTTCCAAAAGAAGACGTGTGACACGAAACAAAACGGCACTCCCCCTTCTTTGGCCTCCGTTGCTGGGTGGGTGGATGGGCGGGCGGGCGGGTGGGTGAATGGGTGGCTGGGTGGGCAAGAAGCATCCGGCACCCTGTGTCACAATGTGTCACACCCTTGCTCCACCCACAAACCGAGGTAAACAGATGAAAAGAGCCGAACCTAAAAGGCCCAGACTTTTGTCTTGGCGGATTCCTAAGGAGATGTTGCTGAATGGTCTTCATCGAGGACCTACTGGGAAACATGAGACCATGACCTTCACTCCGTGTATGAAATGCCAGCAGGCCTCCTCCTAACTTGCTATTGTTCATGCTAGACCGAAGATGGACCACAATCTGAAGGTTGTTTGTGTACCAGTGTCATGTAGCAAGCAAACACGAGACATTCAACCTGAGAGGCGTCGTCATGTTCTCAGTGAAGTCCTTCCGGGACCTCTTCGCAGATAACTCGCAGCTTGGAAGAAAGGTGCCGCCGTTTTTTTCGCGCCTGCGTCCTTTCAACTGGAGGGGGGTTGCCTTCAGATTAAGATGAAACTGAAGAAGCAGCTAGGACCCTTAAATGGGGTCTTGCTTCTCGTGCACGTAGTTGGTTGGGCTCCATGTTCATCGGAGTAAACTCTACCAAAATGCAGGTTGACTGATCTCAATGAAAACAAGTTGACCAGCAAACAAAATTTGCAGTTTTGTTTTTACGGAAGGGCCGCTCCCGGCAAAGGTTAGGCAATGTCGGGGGGTGGGGAGGGCTGTGGGTTTTTGAGAACCATGATATCTAACAATTTTCAGCCCCAAAGGTTACAGATATTCGGATATTCGGGGAATGGCGCACACCTTAGGCAAATTGAAAGTCAGAAGTAGGCATGGCAATGCCCTTTAAGTGCGTTGGAGATGTTAAGGGGTTGATCAACATTCCTGACCCAAAAATCACCATGGATAACTTCATGTGATGAAAGTCAGTTTTGTGGCTTCCCTGATGGTCATCCCATGTATCACCCCGACCTTTTGATCCTCCATGTTGTGCCCAAAATGGCTTCACCGCCATGAAATCTTCGGACCCTATGGCTCCAGATCCTGAGCTGTGCCAACATGTCTGCGATGTGTTTCTTGAACAACTTGAGGTTTGCTGAAATGATTTTTGGAGAAGGAATTCATCGTCGAGGGAGTCGAAGATTCCAACTAGAATTTAAGCCAATCAGAATGAAACAAGTCAAGTATTGTGTCCATCTTGCGCTAAAGTTCAACATAGAGTTCCTTTCCATCCCTTCAAAATAGGGTTTATTTTAAGTTTAATTTTAGTAGATGTCAACTGGAACTCAATACAGCAATGCCGTTTTGCTGTTCCCTGCCCCTTAAAAGAGTGACAAACCAATTGGAAACTCAAGGAAAATGCAAGTTCAGTTCTGTCAATTTAAGATGAAACAGAGAAGTATTGAATGATACGCTTTTAACAGCATGTGTAGATGCTATTTAATTTTGCTTCAATCGATGTCCTCACAATTCTATTTGGACACATGTTTCTTCTTAGATGATTTCCCAATAGGAACTCAATTTGAAATTAAGTGAAGACTCTCCACAGCTTAAGCCTTAAGTTTTAAGCTTTGAACTGACATTGCATTGTTCTGAAGTCTTTTTTGGTGGTGGGTTCAAAGCAAAACCAACTTGAGAACGCAGGACAACAAACACCATAATCCATGTATCCATTTTGGCTGAGTTAGAGTCTGAAGTATGATTACGTGTTTGGTTTTCTCAAATGCGTGCTGTGTTCTTTTATGAATTGGATAGCCCAATGCACAGTTGCAAGGCTAACATCCAGAACAACACCATGCGAAAACCCACCACCCATGAGCCCTTCTGGCAAGAAGGCATCCCCTACCAACAGGAATGCGTGATGCAACAAATAGAGGATCCAAGCAAGGTCAGAATCAGGGGGCACCATACACGTTGCTGTTTGTGTGCCCATTCCTTCACATAATCACGATGAGATATGACATGATATTCAATGGGGAGCACATTCCCAAACGATTGGTGGACATTAATGCAAATCCTCACCTGAATGATGCCTACCAAAGGATCGCAAATCAAGATTCATGCCCATATGGGGGTGTCATTTTTTTGAGGATACCCCTTCCTTGGTGGTTTTAAATGGACACCAACAGGAGAACCCACCATTTCGAAATCCTAAGAATGACACACTCATGTGGATTCTCAACAATCGGTACACTTGCTTTGCATCACTAGCTCCATACAGAATCGAGAACATGGGCAACCGATAAGGCCAGCCTCGCGTACGTGGCATGCTGGTTTCCATGTCTGTTCTGAACAAATGTTTGACTTGCATTAGCTGACATGAATATGTTTTCATCTTCCCCTGTTGGTGAAGGGAGTCGATTTCACTACTGGACAGTTTTGTGTTTATTTTTGGGGGGACAACAGCGGAAATGGAGGTTGATCAGTGGCTTGGAGGGTGGCTGGTGTCGCATGGTCACCCACAAACCCCTGCAAGCCCAAAAGGGGGCGATATTTTTGTTAAAGGACCTTCCAGGACATGCACGGAGCTTTTTTGACATCTCCGGCATTTTCGCGTTTTGGGAGGCAGAGGGCCCACAAGGTCTGTGACACTCTCGTGCTAAGAGCCGCTTTCGGGTGGACCGGTCAACTCTTGAGGCCCAACGAAGATTTTATCGTGCCGGAGAAAGCAGGACCATGGGAGTGCAGTGCTCGGAAATGCCAATGCTGTCCACCAACTGGGTACCCTACCAATCATAGAAGCGTGCGCCCTAGGCTGAATCAGGTGTGAACTTAAACTCGCAGCTTTTCGTTATTTGGCGGGGTGCACTTCAAAGGGGTCCTAAGCAGGGTCACAATTGTCTTTGTTCCTTTGTGCATGACGTTTGTTCGCCCTCCCCCGCCCTTCCCGCTTTGGCTCATAGTTCAAAACAGTTGGAGCATGCAACGCACTGCAACACGCCAGCTTGGTCAGTTACAGCGTGGTAAAGTTGAGACTAGATGAGTCACTGACAATACAAGTGGTTGGTTCAGGGACCGCAAGGTTGAATCGGGAGCAGGCTACAATTTTCCCATGTCCCTTTGGGGAAAGCAACTTTTAAGTGTAGCTCGGATGATGGTTGTTATTGCTCTTCTGTCCAAGCTACGTGTCTTGGATGCCACATTCCAACAATCCGGGAGTGGTCAAGTGTGCAGGGGGGCCGCCTCCCTTTGGGGAGACAAGCTCAAATTTGGGGTAAGCGCTTGACACTGTTGCCCCGTGCTTAACCAGGGTCCCCTTTTTTCCCCCTGGGCGGTTTTAATCATCACCTTTTGGGCCCATGAAAGGTGAGTGTCCCTTGGGGGTGATTTGTTAAGGGGAAATCACTCGGGAGCCTGGTAACTGAGAGTTATGGCAGTTTAACATGAAAGCAATGCCAGCTGTTTTCCCTGACTGTTGGCGGTACGTGTTGGTGCCCCCCCGAAGCTTTGCATCCAAGTCGCCTTCGGTGAGCGAGAGGCTTCCTATGCAGGGGGAAACAAGCAACAAGTCCGTGATCGGAAAGGGCAAAGCCCCTCTTCACTGTGTTGGCATGTTTTTTAGGTTGTTTTGTTTTTGGTTCTGTTCTTTTTTAGTAGGGGGTTGCTCCCATACCAAGTGTTGTAAGCCCCGCTCTGTCAAAATCCACGCCTCCAATCCATGAGAATGGCATCTTGCACTTACCCATTCCCATTTGTGAGGCCAAAGACTTCAAAGAGACACTTGGCCAAACTTGCAACCTGAAATCTCGGGCCCGGCATGGCGTTTCGGTTTTGCAAGTCAGGCGTTCGGATTTGGACTTGCCATTGAGCCCAAAAGGCCAGTCTCAAAGGCCGATGGAACGGTCATCGTGTATCTATCCCATGAGAACGCCCTGGATGGTTCTTCAGGGGCGCCTTTGGGGTTCTCAAGATGGCCGAAGTCCATCTGAAAACCGCTTGCCCCCAAGAAAGAACAAACAGCCCCTACCAGAGCCTAGAGCCCAGAGCCTTTCGCCGGAGAGGATTTGAGGAGAGAAGCCTCATAGACAGCACCAACTTTGTGCCCCTCGGCGAGGACATTTCCAACACCTGAGATTGATTGACCCCAGACCCCCAGTGCCCCTGGTTCAACCTTTTGGGAATCCTAGACAATCAACTTCCAAGAACGAGTGCCCGTGCGTTCAACCAACTGCCAAAGAGTGCCCTTTTTGCCCATGGCCACTGGGGGGTCTGGGTGATTCCCCTGCAAGTTTACATGGAATCCAACAAAGAGAGTCCAAAGAGAGTCCTTTGGTGGTGATTCCTTTGGATCTTCTTGGCACCTCCTTTCCCCTTTGGCTCCCGTCCAACCAAAACGGGTCCGAAGCTTCCATCTCCGGGCAAGCTTAAAGGGTCCTTGCTTTGTTGAATGGTTTTGTTTAGTGCAGCTCCTTGGCGGCTTCTAACAAACCCAAGTCGGGCAAATGAACTTGTGACTGCCTTTCGCGTGCGATCGATTTACACACCCCATCCATGTGTTTTTCCTTTTTGTTTTTGTCGGCTTCAACAAAAGCGTTAGGCCTGTGCAATATAGTACGTGTGCCAGATGTGTTGGGGTCTCTTTTTTCCAATCAAAAGATCCTTGGAATCAGCTCCTTTGGGTGTCTAGCCACGCCCTTCCAGAAGTACCCAAGACATTGACAGTTTGTTTTCGGCCTTCACTTGGAGCAGGATCAAGGGCTTCTGCTTCTGCGATTTATTTCTTGCGGTGGAAAGTCGGCCGTTGTTTGTTACCGCAGACCGGTGAGTGCTTCCCCCCGACAAACCTGGCGACTGAGTCCGTCGGATTCGAGGTCGTCGGGGCATTTCACCAACAACAACGTAGCAGACTTAGACACAGAGGCCGAGTCCGATGTGGACACAGAGTCTTTGAGCTCTCAGTGACGGCTTGCAGCCCAAAACGGGTCGTCCTTTTGACCGGTGGTTAACCTTTGTTTCCACGTTCTTTGGGCAATTGCCAAATGGCTGTGGGTCAAAAATAAGGTAACCCCAAAATGGACACCTGGCAAGTGGCCCAAAACCTGTGGTCCTCTGGTGGTTTAATTTTGACCCAAATTGATAACTCAGCGATTCCATTCGGACATGGGCTCCCACAGCTACCAGAGAGAACCCGAAGGGTTGATTGAAAAATGGAATAAGGAAAAAACACCTTATTACCCATTTACCATATTATTCCATGTACCTTACTACCCATGTATAAAAAAGGAATAAGGCAGGGTAGTCTATGTTGCCCTACCTTATTGGACAAGGTCAAGAGGACGCCCCTCCGGCGCAACAGTTTGGAGCGCAAACGTCAGTCTCCCCATCGCCGAAGTTTTTGGCGAGACATCGATTCCATGTCTTCCAGGGGCTGACTCGGCTGCGATGTCAGTGTTGATAGGGTCTTGTCCAAACATCTCGGAGTTGGGACAGCGTAAAGGAAGCCCAGCTAAGGTATGCTTGGAGATCCAAGTTCTTACTTGGTGGTTCCCAGCAATCCCCTTGGGTTTTGAGCCTTTACGGTGCAGCTGAGGCTTTCATTTAACCCAGATTGGGTGTTGGACATGTTTCTTACTAGTTTCGGACATGTGGAATTTGCTTAGGGGTCTGAACCCTTGGTGTTTGTAGAGGGTAAGCGGGAAACCACACTTTCCACTAAACCACCGCTCCACCACCAACTAGGGAAGCTGAATTGTGGGATTTAAGCAGATCTTTGTGAATATATACGTGTATATATATATATATGTATACATACATTTATGAGAATTAAACATGCGGTCTATTTGGGATGATGTGCTAGAGCATCGCATTGGCCGGAGTTGGTTCGCCGAAGGTTTTCGCGGCCGCTCGTATACGACGTGCCACCAGCTCGCTTTAGACCAAAGCAGGTGCCAAACGTTGGCGAGCTGCTCGCAAAATTGGCTGTTGTCCACTTGGGATGGTTCCCCTTTGAGTGGGGAAGTTTTAAATACGGAGGTTGCTGTGATTGCCTTTTCCGGGTGCCTTGCCTACTTGTCAAGGGCGTCTTGCTGAACAGGCTTCCATGGCTGGCTATGCTGCCTTGACCGGAGGGCCCCTTACTCAAAGAGGTTTTAATGCTGAGCATGGGAACCAGTGAAAACCCGGGAGAGGAGTTGGCTGCCTTTGAACTGGAGAAGGCGGCTGTGACGTGAATCAAGATCCTACCCAAGTTATCCCAAGTTGACTCATGTCTTTTGTGCGGAAATTGAGGCAAATCCGTTTTTTGTTCATAGGAGGCTTTGACCCGGTGACATACACGGCTCGAGATTGCCCTTGTTCGGACGCCTCAAAGAGATCGACCGTCCATGCCGGAGGAGGAAGGGCGAGGTTTGTTGAGAGATGAGCCCCAGCCGGCCTCGTCGAGCAGCGCTTGTGTTCTAAAATGGACTCTGGGCGTTGCCTTGTTGCTGGCCGCGGCAGCCGTGGTGCTGGTCTTATGTGCCTTCGCAGCACGTGGTTATTTGTTTTGTTGCTATCGAGGTGGGAAATTGCCGGAGCTAGCAAAACGTGGTCCCGTTCTGGAACTCGGCTCTCTGTGCGCAAACCACCTCAGCCACGGCCCAATCTCGGACCATTCTTGGACAGGATCGTTGAAACGACCGGGCTGATGCGCGGCTGCATGCACTTCGCAAAATCAAACGGCTAACCCTTGGACTTCCGTTGAGTCTCTCTTTTAGGTGGTCACTTCGCCGCATGTCTCTGTGCACTTTCGAGGGTTGACTCTTTGTGGATGCATCAACCGTCAACTCGTATCAATCACTCGTGTTGGTTGCGCTTTCAGCAGCCAGCTGACTGGTGAACTTCCGAAGCCAAGTGGCAAGCTACCCCACTATCGAACGAGCTCACGAATCTGTCCGGCGGTGAGCAAGCGGCAAGCCAGCCTAACTATCTAGCCAGCCAACTAGTCAACCATGACCTGCTAAGATAGCAACCTGCTTGCCAAATACTGGAAATTCTGGAGCCGTTGTTTCTATTTGTTTGATTGTTTTCTATGTGTTGTAATTGGATGAGAAGAGATAGGAGAATCTGAGATTCCAGGGCTTTGTGTTCTATGGTTCGTGTTTGTTTAACTTAAATAGGAAAAAAACGGACACATGGTAAATACCAGGGCCATGTTTTTCAATTGTCCTAATTTGTTTATTTGCCTCTTTGTTCTAGTTTGACGCAACAAATTTAACAAATGCAAATTTCCAGGGCATGTGGTTCTGCGTCTAGAATGAAAAGTGTCTGTGTCTTCGAAGTGGACTAGAAATAATGGAAGCACTATGAAGTTCCAGGGCCGTGCTTTTCCCCAGATAGCTGAAAGCTATGGTGGGGTTCTAACTTCGAATAAAGAGGGGAAAGTGATTTGCGATATTGACGGCTGGGTGCTAAGGGGCATGCAGTTTGGGGTGCTAGTGCAGGTGCTGTTTTGGGATGCTGTTTGGGGTTCTGTTTGAGGTGCTGGTGACTGTGCGGGAACGGACAATTGAGAAACATGGCGCGGGGAATTCCGATTTTTTTTGTGTTCACTGTAGTTTCGTTCGCAGGTTAAGACTGTGATCAAGTGATTATTCTCAGGGCAATCAGAATTGTAAACGCTGCGCGTTGCCCTCCTCGGCCCAGCCGAGCGCGCAGCGCCTGTGTTTCGACTGCAAGCAGCAGAGCTGGTCAAGTGGCGATTCAGGCATGGACAAGTTCTGGCGTCGTTAAACCACTTGATGTCATGGGCCCGCAGGAACAGGAATGTCGGGCAGGCGATGCACAGGACCAGGAGGGCGAGCTGGGCTGGGCCTGCTGGGCTGGGCGCGCTGGGATGAGCCTTGCTTGGGCGCTTGCTGGTTGGGCTGGGCCTGAGGCTAGTCTCAGACATGTGGGCGGCATATTCAAGATCATTCAAGGCGGCACGTTCAAGATCACGCAAGCTAGGCACATTTAAGATATCATTCAAGTCTTCACGACGACCGCCGCAAGGTGGGCACAGGTCAAGGTCACTTCGGGATGACAGTCGCATCCGCCCCTTGCGTGACCGAACGCGCAAGGATGCAACGCATGAACGATTAGTAAGGTCTTCCTCGATCTTGCGCATGTAGCCGCTAATGTGCAACCAGGTCGTCGCATGCCACTGGACCTTGCAGACGAGAAGGGAGCCGTCCACTGTGGCCTGGACCACGTCGCCACAAGAAATCCGCTGCCCATCCTGGAGCAGAAGCGCTAGAGACTGCACGGGCAAGTCCCAAGCATCCTCCATGTGCAGGAGCTGAGTCTGAAGCACATCTAGGAGCAAGGAGGTCTCGAAAGCTTTGGATGTGTCCGAGAGCTGGTTTGCGAACCTTTTCAAGAGCTTCCCTAGAAATTGTCAAGACAATTAGCGGGGGCAAGACAATTTTTACCGTGAAAGTTAACTTTTACCGTGAGCATTTTTTTACCGTTGCCGTTGCCGTTGCCGTTGCCGTCGCCACGAAAAGTTAGTCTTTTAACGGGGAAACTGCTGCGGCTGTTGCCGGGAAAAGGTGCCGTTGCCGTTGCCGTGAAATATTGCCGTTGCCGTTGCCGCGTGTTGTGGGTTTCAGCTGGCGAAGTGAGCGACGCAAAGGTGCCTGGTCAAGACATTCTGCGCTGGGCCAACAGGCGTCCTGGAAAAATCCGCCCAACATGCAAGTGGGGCTGACAAAGTTCTCCGTCTCCTGCAGGAACACCGCCGAGGGCCCCCTGCACACTTGAGGGCGAAGGTGTAAAGGCGCGGCACGCTCTTTGCGCACCCAGGCTTCGACGCCAGCGTCCGCGTCTTGATGACGCCAACGTCGGCGTTGCCACTGGCGCCCGCCTGCAGCCACAGCACGCGCAGCCGCCACCACTTGCAGTTCGTGCTCCTTGCGTCTGGACACAGTGCAGAAGCTGTGGGAAGGTCTCGGCACCTTCCTTGCTGCCAGTCCGTGCAAGGCTGCCTCGTGGAAGGCGTGATCCCGCTGTTGCAGGCGCGCCATACTCAACTGCCCTTGCCCCGACACGAGCTCGCTCTCGTGCTCCACCTCTTGCGCAAGCAGGCGAAGGGCAAAGTTCGTGTGAGACACCGGGAGGGAGACGACCTTCAGCTTGTCGGCCTGGTGCGTGCTGAGCTTGGCCGAGGCACGCGCGAGTTCCTCGTTCCACTTCCGGACCGAGTCGTCCGCAATCTCGACTGCGACCGCCTGGACACGGCTCGGCACGAAGCCGATGTCGATGAATTAAATCATCTCATCGAGCAATGGGCGCACGTCTGCGCTGCTCAGGCCCAGGCCGTCGCGGTTACAAGGGTGTACCCCGACTTGTTGCGGAGGAAGCCTTTGAGTACAAACATGTCCTTCAGTGCGAAGCATGCCCAGGAGGTCGTCGACGAATTTGACCAGTCGGTCGCCGTCGGCCGCATCTTTGAGCTTCGCCTGCACCGCGTCAGAACCATTCTGCGAGGCAAGGAAGAGCTCTGCAAACGAGCAAATGTGACTAGTGCCCTGCTTCCGAGCTATATGTCTTGAAGTTGATCCACGCAAAGGCCGCAGAGTGCAAGCCGGGTCGCGCTATTCATGCTCCAAAAGCACAAGCCAGGGTCCGTTAGACACACTCTCTGCACAAAATCAAGCGCGTCAAGCCCATGCCCAAACTGTTCTTCCAGGTGTGCCAACTTGCAACGGTGCATCCTTCCAGGTAAGACACGCAAACTTGCCGTGCTCAAATCTGCATTTTGCAAGACACTGCTGCGCTTCTCAATCTCGCACTAGGTCAAACTTGCGCCTGCGTGGAAGGCACAAACGTTCTCCCAGCTGCGCAACGTGCGTGAACATGCTGAAGGTGGTGGGGTTTTTTGAGGGGGCTGCCAAAATAGCATATGTGGCCCAACTCATTTGCACAAGTGTGTTATCCACAATTGGCCACTCACACATCTCGGCTGTTAGCTACACAAAAGCAGGGCAA